ATAGGTTTAGACACAGGGAGACTTGCCCAAGATAACATTGCTCATCCAAGTCTCCTGACTCAGTCCAGAGTTGATTTTCTTTGCACAGTCAGAGTTCTCCTTTGTTGTCAAAGGAAGTATGATTAAAATCTCCTTTAAAAGACTCATAATTGTCAAGTTCCATTCATACTCAGGCTGGACTTGTTTCTGTAGAATAATCCCACTTTATTCTCAAATTTGCATTATGTGTACATTTAGGTAGTTGTTCCTTTATTTATTCATTCAACCAACCATATACCATGAGAGGCTAGAGTACAATTCTGAAGATCTTTATACCATGTCTATGAGTCTGACTTTATTTTTGTAGTTGCAGGGATCAGCAAGGGCAGAAAGGGGGGGAAATGATATATGCACACACTCATGCACACATACACACACTCACTTGCTAGTCATGCTAATCCTTGAGATTATGTTTATCTTGAAATAAGCCACACAGAACGGGGAGATATTGAAAAAAATAATTAATGAGTTTAATCTTTCAGGCAGTTAAGGTTCAGAGTTATTGTGGAAAGTTCATAAGTCATTTCCAATAAAAAGTTGAACAGAAATATTTTTTACTAGATTAGACTTCAGTAAGAAACAACCCCAAAATTACAATAAAAAAAGTTTCTGTCCCAGAATACAAATCACTTGCTGCAGATCTGCAGATTGTCTTCATTCTCCAATCACAGTGGCGATAGCAGCCCTATCTGGATCATGCCCAGAGGCAAGCTGGCAATTACCTTTTAAAGCTTCTGCCCACAGAATGTTTATGTTCCTTGATGATTCTAAGGCAGCAGGAGCTTCTGTTGGATTAGATGTTGTGAAGAAGTGGGGCAAATTAGAGAAAGGGTAACTTGGCCATTGTTATCTAGAAAATGAGAGAATTAAAACAGGAACAGAGGGTTCATTAGTAAATCAGTGGTAGTCACATATATTAGCCATTGAGGAAAACTGTTAGGCTTTTCTGTGATCCTGAAGTTGTCTTACCTCTGATCATTGTGTGCTAAACATGGACAATGCTTGTTTATATTCTGTGAATGGACAATGCTTGTATTCTGTGAGTGTTGATTATGCTCAGCTGGGACCATTCATGGGCCTGGTTGACAATGAGGCTATATTTTACTTTCTCACAGGTAAAAAATTATTTACCAGACCAGTTTTTCAACTCAAGAATTCTAGATCTGATAGGAGAAGAAAGCTATATTATTATGGTTATAAATTACATTCAGGTGTATTCTAAAGGCAGAGGTGCTAGAACAACTGAGAGTGATACTAAATCATAAGTATTTAAAATAACTTCTGAGTCTAATAGACTATTTGAGAGGTTTGGTTTCTGGGATGCTGACCCTAGCAGTGCATAGTGTCTGCCCTCATGTTTCAGACCCCAGAAATATAATTTTTTTTTTTTACTACCCTTCATTGGCTTACATATCTGAAACTCTACCAGGCAATTCTGAGAGGAAGTAAATGGGTTCACTTGAGGACACTTTATCAGTCTTTTAGGCAACTTGAGATATTAAAGCACAGCAGACACCATTAGCCTAGGAGCAAGATATCTCTTTCTTTGGTTTATATTCTTTTTAGTCTTTACCTCTTGGAAATTTTATCTACTTAAGTTTCCTCTTAATGTTCTTTTATGCACAATAGACAACTTCTTCACATCTAGAAATTCAGGTCTCTGTTAGGGTGAAACTGTCTCATTTGTCAGCAAATAGTTTTTCCATCCTCAGCCCCATCTAATTCCTTGCCCAAATCTTAGTGGCAAGAAAACTATTTGAAAGCAATGAATCTTGTGGTTTATATTAAGCTTCCTTCAGAACACAGATACCTTCATTGGAATTCCCCCAATGTTCCTGTAAAGAAGGTAGTGTTCTTACTGCCACTTGAATGCCAAAAACGAGCTAGAGTTTATCTAGGCATATTTTTGGTGATGTTTCTCATATTGTCCATGAACCCCTAGCATCAGAATTACTGAGGGGTTTGATAAAATTCATAGTCAACACACTATGGCATTCATCTGCAGGTGATCTCCATGTCCATTAAATTTATCACTGATGTATAATGCATCAAGTTCTTGTATAACATTTTGTTCAATACCACTTCATTTTAACATTGATGAGGGAAAAAAAAAAGTCCCCGCCAACAAAGGATGAAAAAGTGTTGAGGACCTGCTGTCCTTATATAGTGATCCCCTTATGGTAGCAATTTCCAAGAACCTGTGGTCAGTGTTAAGTGAGGACTTACACTATAAAGAATGAAAACGTCAAGATTGACAAACATTTTGGCATGTTCCCTCTTAAGTCCCCGTCACCTATAACAATGGTTGACAGCACAAACTCAATAATTACTGGTTAAATAAAATAACAGAAAGGAACATGAAGTCACACACTTACAATAGGAAGCTTAGTAAAAACAGGAACAAGCATTTAAACATATAAAAATTCCAGCTCCACTGCTTAGCAGTGCTCGACCTTTGGGAAACTGTTAATCTCCCTGTTCTTTAAAATTCCCGTGGAGACGCTAGTAGTAGTACTAATTCTTTGGTTTGTTGTGATGAATGTTTCAACATCTAGGGTAATTGGAACCATTCTTGTCTAAAACGCTCCAAAACTTTAGTTAAATTGTGATTTAGCAATAACCAGTGCAATATCAGGCATCGAATCAGCCAGATCTGACCCAGGTTTCCTCGCTCCTTCTACTCTTTAGTTGTATGACCTGGCAGACATCAGAAGATCCTCTTTTTCCAAAATTCCTCTTTCACTATATTTCCTATACAGGCAGAAACTTCCACCATTACAGCTATTTTTCTAAATCAGACAGGAAACAAGCTGTCATCAACACTAATTTCCTAGGATGGACTGAAAATCCCAAACTAAGTTCCTCTTTTTAGCCTGATTTTCCCATTAACCTCAGGCAAAGATTAGTGTGTCAGAGAACATGGCTATGTGTAGATTCAGAGTCTACCCAGAGATGCATTATTTTCCTTAACTTCTAGAGTTAAAGCGGGGGTGAGGCAAGGGAGAACAGAAAGAAAAAAAAATTAAATACTATAAACACAAACAGAATTTTAAATCTTGAAGAAGCTCATTAAGCAGTTTGGTTTTGTTTGGTTTTTGGAAGTCTTGTTATTTTTTTTCTTTTTTTAAAAAAAAATTGTTATTTATTTATTTATTTATTTATTTATTTATTTATTTATTTATACAAGAACTGGGGTACAGGCCAGATGCACTGGAGGGTGAAAGGATTCACCAGAGACAGAGCAGGGAGCAGAACAGGCAGACTGACTGAAATACACTGCTGAGGGGAGCAGCGGGCGAGACAGGAGAGGTCTGCTGTGCCATGTGGGACCCTCTCCAGCGGCTGGGATCAAACCAATGAGACAGGGCAAGCTAGGGTTATTAGGCAGTTTTAGGGACAGTGCAGGAGGGGACCTCTGAAGAATTTAGGGAGGCTTCAGAGATAAGGACAACCAAAGAAATATAACCAATTCCATTAGGAAAAACAAACATGCCAGGACCAAGGACAACATTGTTAATGCTGGTCCTGGTTTCCTTCAGGTGGTAAAGGGAGGCAGAGATTGGAGAAATGGAGAGTGGTTTAATTTATGGTCACATTAGAAGGGCAGCTGTTTAACTTCAATGCAGGGATGCCCATCCAGAAGACTGGGCCATAAATTTAAAGATGCAACAAATGGGAAAAGAGAAAGCTGTTAGATAAGGAATGTGAAGATCCCCACTCAGTAGCAAATTAAGTAAGACAGCCGAGAACTAACCAATCACAGAGAGACTGGTGGAGTTTTAGAATAATGAGGGAAAAAAGGTATATAGTCCCTGAAACACAATTCCACTTTGGCTTCCTTGCCACTCCCAGGCCTGGTTCCCTGGCCTGGGAGTCCCACTTTATTTCTGTTCTTTTTCTCCTCAATAAACTTTTTCTTTTTCTAAACAAACTGCCTCTTCTCGCTTGCTTGCCTGAGCGTCTGCGAAGTTCCTGCTGCGGCTTCGTGGACACCAACCCATGGGGGGTCTAGTGGCTGGGGCTCAGCACTGCCCTGCAGCCTGGAATCCGTTCCTGGCTGGGAGACTAGGCCTGACAATTCCGGTATCACCACCACTGCAGAGGCTGCGGACAGCTTCACAGCACTGTGCTCAACCGCCTGCGCCACCAGGGGAGGCCCTGGACGGCTTGTTTTAAATTAAAACAAAAACAAAAACAAAACTCTAAACTGGAATGAGCATAGATTATAAGCATAATGAAGACAGGTGTCACCAAGGCCCTACAATTCCTGGCATTCCAAGGCAGAACAATCAGGCCTAAACCATTTTCTCACACTTAAATTGACAATCTAATCCTTTGACTTGCATTCGATAACCCTGGCAAAGTTGGGGGTGAATTTAGAGTGGCCACAAAACCCTTTTCATAACATTTTGATTACATTAGCTAACTGAAAAAAGAACCCCCGCCTCCAAAAATAATAATAATAAAAATAATAAAAGGCAACCAAACTTCCTTGTTCCTCCATTGCGAGGAATGCGCTCGGAGAGAGACACACTTTGCCTGGCTATTTCACGAGGGCGAAGTGCAAAGGAGCCTTGCGGCTGAGCTCTGGAGAAAAACAGGAGATGGGGTGGAAACTAGAACAGCGCTGGGAAGAGGAGGAATCAGAAATTCGCCTAAGGCAGGAGGGCTGGTGTCGGGGGTAAGGATCAGAGCAACGATTGGGGGTGGGATAAATGTCGGGCGTTTTGTCTTTAAAAGGCTAGAAAGCCGCGGCTTAGACTAGGCGGAAAGTAGCGCGCAGGGAGAGGAGGCGGGGTTCAGCACCAACCTGGCCAGGTGCGAGCCTGTTTCCTGCTCTCGCCAGCGGGAAGTCGGGGACGGCGCGGGACAGCCGGGGAGACCACACCCCGGGCCCGCCCGGCGCGCGCTTCGCGAGCTCAGCCGGAGTTTGCTGCCAGAACCCACGCAAGAATCCGCGAATGAATGACCCTCCTCCCAGGATGGGGGGGCCGGGGGCCCACCGGGCTGCTCATTTCACGGACTACCCCCGCAGCCCAGGGCGATCCCTAGGGCGTTCCCGGTCCTTTAGGGGCGAGGTGGGGCGCAGGGCTCCGCTGGCCCCAGACGCCCCTAATTCTTCAGCGGCGAGGGGGGATAGAAGCTGGAGTGACGCCCACGACGACTGCAGAGCCAGAAAGAAGCTGAACCGTGATTCCTGGGTCAGAGACAAAGTGCTTTTTCTTCTGCACCCGGAGAGGTGGCTGGGCACTAAAACGGGCCCTCCTGGGGAAGAGGTGGCCGGCGGGGAGGACGTGACCCAGTTGGAGGGACACGCTAGGGAACCGCAGTGCGGGTCTCCTCTCTGTGCAAGAAGAGAACCAATTTGTGGTGGCCCAGGAGGTGCTGCCCCTGGCGCCCCGGGGCAGGACCCCGCAGCCGCACCCAAGTCCGTGCTGGTGCGGGTCGTGGATTATCAGGTGACACAAGAGGTGCTTCGGACCGCGTGGACTAACAGCCGCATGACCACACGGACCGAGGAGCGCTGCATGACCGCCATCACTTTTCGGACCAACAGGTAGAGACGCAGGTTGTGGGGCGCGGGGGACCCCTGGAAAACCCCGGGCTCTGGGCCCTGAGTGACACTCGGCTTCCACGCTACGGAGGGGGAAGCGTTTCACCATCTCCAAGGAATTGATTCCCCGAGGATATTAAACAAGAAATAGGAGCAGAGGGAAGATTCCAGGCTGCTGAATGAAAATGTTCTGGGAACTCCAACCTGTAATTAACCAAAAGCAAGAAGTTTTAAAGAAACTGGCGCTGTGCTTCTGGGGGGCAGATGGTACCCAATGCAAACTGAGGAACTCTAAGCAACATAATACCTCCTTTATGACTTAATACTGTGATGGGCTGGGACCTGTGTCAAATCAAAGGAAGAGAAGAAAAGGTATTTTCAAATTGCAGAATGTCGAAATTTTTGAAATTAGAAAACTGTTGTTAATTCTCATTTTGCAATACCTAGTGTTCTCTTTTCTGCCTCTCCTTTCTCTTTAAGACCTGAAAGCAGAAGTGAAGTTTGACATCTGCTCTCTGCAAAAGGGGTAGGTGTACATAGAGAGGCTTGTTTTAAAAGCTGAAAAAGAAATGGAGACTATTGAAATAAAGTGGCAAGTAAACAAAGTATCATCCTTTTGCTCTGTTGATGTGCTTATTTTTTCTTTTTCCATATGAGAGTTAAGAAGAAAGGAGAGGAACTAGGAAAAGGAGAAACAAGCTGAGTTTTGAAGGTGAAATGTGATTTAAAAGAGCTTTACCCTAAAGTATCTAATTTAGTACAATAAAAAAGCTTTTAATATAAAATTTTAGTTTATCTTAATGCTTAAAATATTGCATATATGTCTTGATCCAAAGATAGATAGAAATGGATAGTTTTCCATAAAAATAATGGGTATCTTATATTTGTCTACAGTTCTTTATTAAAAACTTGCGATCAGCATGGAATAAAAGTACATCTCTCCTAATCCTGTTAAAAAAAATCTGGTACCCTCTTCAACAACTCATTTTATTTATTCTTCTTATTTTATTAGACATCATTTTAATTAACTCTTTAGTAGCATGACCTGGTTTGGAGCAAAGCACTCCCTCTAGAAGTGAACTACTTGACTGCCACTGCTGAAGGAGTATTTGGTTACTGTCAAACAAGTGAGACTCTGGGTTCTGAGGAGTCAGCTGTTGAAAAGTGCCCCCTCCCTCCCCTATCCTCTCTTTCCCTCATATTTTCAGGTTAGATTTGAAATGCCCTCAAATGCCTTCTGATTCACTTTTTGCCTCCTAGCAGACAAGATAGGTAAGGTATGTCCCTGTTTTCCAAATAAACCAACCTAGGCCTAGAGGCCATGTGGCTTATGTAGGTCATACTTGCCACTTACTGCACATTTTGTGTAGTAATTGCACATTGTAACTAAGTTGATAGGCATATGATCATCATTCTTCTGAAGAATGACCTTTAGAAGCAATTAGTCTCTGCTATCAAAAGATGACTGAGGGCATCCCAGGTTTTCTAACTAATGTTTATGAAAAGTTGAGACTCACCTTGATGTCTTTTGAGTCTTTCTCGGCCCATTGGCAGGAGAATCCCCACTAGCAGTTCTGAAGCCTGTGAGAGGAAATTCAGCACCTTAGCTCGGCTCTGTTCAAAACTGGTAGGCAAGATTATAATATAGGCCCCATAAAATAAATTACATTTTCTTTCAAAAGTCTTGCTTTGCTATGTGAGGTCAAACTTCTTCACAGTTGCAAACCTGACAATACATTTAGTTGTGCACCATCCCATTCCACAGGTGATTGAGCACTGAATGCAGTCAACAAGAAAAGCACTTAATAGTGTTGGTAAACAGTTGTAGTGTTACGGAATGCCATGCCGCCTCCGTTTCCCTCAGCCAATAAAAGGAAACCGAGTTTGAGGAAAAGGAAAGCAGTTTTATTTGTCCACAAATGAGGAGGGCGGCAGACTCCTGTCCGAAAGACCACCGTCCTGACAGTGGGCAGGGGTATTTATGCTAGGGGTAGATGGGCAGGGGTTCGCGAAGGGGAGGGGAAAGGGGTCCGCATGGAGACAAGTGGGCGCCAACTCAACAGGGAGATGGATGGGTACCAGCTGATTTTCATTAAGGGGAGGGGGAAAGTGTCAACAAAGAGATGGGAAAGGGTCTTCAGAGGCCGATGGGTGTCAACTCATTCATCATAAGGGAAGGGGAAGGTGTCAGCACACAGACAGGTGATCCCCAGCTTGTTTTCTTTAGGGGGAGGAGGAAGGGTCTGCACGGAAACCGGTGGGCGCCAGCTTGATTTTCTTCTCAAGGGGAGGGGGTTGCTGCAAGAAATGGGAAAGACAAGCTATTAATCCTGTTCGTGCTAGATAAGGGGGAATTGCAAGAAATGGGGAAAAGACAAACTTGTTAACTGTATCAGTAGCTTTCAGTTGCCTGTCTGTGAAGGCAACTCTAGAGTTCATCCTCCTAGGTTCAAAACCAGCTCCACTCTGTGACTTTTGAGGAAGCGCTTAATCTTTATATGCTTCTGTGCTCTTTGTTAAATAAGAATAATATGTACTATCAACCTCATAGGGTTTTTTTCCCCCTAGGATTAAGATAAGAGAAAAACACTTAGCACAATGGTTGGCATATACCAGATGCGCAAAGTTAGCTAGTATTATTAGTGTTATTATTTTGTTAACTTTTCATCCTAACCAGGCTTTAGTCTTAAATTTATTAAAAAACAACTGAAGGCATACAACACAAATCCTATAGAATCCAAATCAGTAGTTTTTAATTATCGTTTTTTTTGCATTCCTGAAATATTTATTTCTGGTATCTTCCAATATTTAATAGATCAGTAAATACACCCTTTAAATTGCGTAGAAATAACCTCCACGAATTGTGATCAAGATTCTTACTATGGTTCAAAAGCCTAACATGTACCTCACTTGACTGTCTTTGAAGATGTTCCACGGACTGCTAATTCTCATGTTGGAACATAAGAGCTTTGAGTACTTTCTTTAGGACCTGTCAGATTAGTTTGTTTTCCCTCAAGGATATTAAATCTGAGAGTCATCTTAGAAAAGCAGAAGGGGTACTATTAGTTTTCATTTATCTCCATCCTGTCAAAAATGTATGTATTGAAGTCAGTTTAATACATCTTTGGGTTAATTTTATCTCTTTTCAGTAAAAAAAAAAATATTTTGAAAGTATCCATCCTCCCTATTAACTGCCTACAAGATGCTTACAGATTTCTTTTAAACAGATGAGTCTCCTGGTATGAAAATAAGTTGAAGTGCTGTTGAATTTGCTTCACAGGTTTATGATTCAAGCAGAGCCCATGTGTGAGAAAACTGGGGAATCTTTTTCCAATTCACAGTGTCCTTGGAGGACACTGGAGGAGAAATAAAGAAAAGGCTTTCTATGGAAAGAAAAAAGTTACATTCACTGCAGACACATTTGAGGAAATGCTATTTTGTGAGGAAAAAGAAAAACCGAATAAAAGAAAAAACCTATGACCCCAAGTGTCTTTTAATATATGGTATGTTTCAAGTCTGGTTTTATTTTTTTTCTTTTGGGGCATGTATGTACATATATGTATACTGTATTCTGCACATAAACTATGCATAGTCATACGCTGCTCAACAACCAAAATAAGTTCTGAGATGTGTAGTTAGGTGATTTTTCCCTTGTATGAACACATTGGCGGTGGACTTTGTATGCTTAGGGGCCACTATGAACAAAATACAAGATTAAATCAAACACAAGGGGAGGTGATCCTGTTATGAAAATGATAAAGGTGAGAGGTATGATGCAGCACCCCGCCCCCCACCAACCCTTATAAAACACATGTTTTGATGGCTATGTCTTCACTAGGCAAAGGGTTTTGGACCACAGTTGTATATGTGGTCTGTTGTTGAGCAAAACATGCCTGTGTAAAATCTGAATGTCATCTTCATGTAAATTAACTCTTACTGATGTTATTCAAAGTGTGATTTGCGAAACAGCAGCCATCTACAAGGTTTTAGATAGGGAGTCTCTCAGGCCCCAACTGGAATTTACTGAGTGAGAATTTGCATTTTTTTTGATAATTTGCATTTTGACTTTTTAGGTTGAGAAGTGTTGACCTTATACACCTTATTGAGATCTGTATCCTACTTTGTCATTTACAAAAACTGAAAAGATTTTTTTCTATATTATCGATTAATTGTTAGCAATAGCGTGGAGATAATATTTTGTAGACATTTGAAAATATTTAGAGATTCTGAAAAATGAAATATGGTGGATATAATGTGTGATTTGGCAGAGATCTGTGAAAAGGGTTTGGTTTTTTTTTTTAAAGGCTTTATCGGAAGTTTTTCCTAATGAAATATCGAATGGTTATTGGAGTTCAAACTATTTCAGAAACTATTCAGATACTATTCAGTGATTCTTTTATCATCTAAGAATGTGAAACAATCTGTATTTAAAACCCCTTAAGGGAAGAAGGGCAGGAAGTCATTAAAGAAAGCACAATAGTAACACCTTTGCAGACTGAGTTAGGACTTGTCTACTCCTAGTGCTGAACTGTGAGGGGGTGGGGGAAGGTGGAGTCTGCATTTTAATCAACCAATTCAGATAAGAAAACAAGGGTGGTGATGCTTGAACACTAAATCTTTACAACTCAAGTCAGTACTTTGCTCCTTAATTAGGGAGGGTGAACTTTGTAAATTTTCTGTAGATGAAGATAAGGGAAAAAATAGTTCAGTTTACTTTGGAAAGAGTAAGGAATGATAATAAGTTCTTAGGTACTACTGAGCTAATCGTTATCAACAAAACATAAGACGTGGTTACTTTCAAAAGTAAGGAATTAACTTTAAATTCAGATGCAACCAGGAAAAAAAAAATAAATAAATAAATAAAGGCTCTGAGAACTGTGACAAAAAAATAAATAAAAATATTGAACAAGGAAAAAATTAATTCACACTCAGATTTCTGAGTGTAAAACAGAATTAGTGCTTTCACGAGACTGTAGCCTTCCCAAAAATAGCCTTCCTTGGTAAAGGAAGGGAGTCAGCCAGCATCTCTTGTACCTGGTAGAAAAGCAAGAGCAGGCAAAGCAATGGGAAAGGTTTACAGTGCCCAAGTTGACCTTAACATTATCCTCAGCTTCTCTGAACTTGAGATTGGTTTCTTCCTGGCCTCCCTTTTCGTAGAGCTTTAACTTTAGAAAACTTATATATTATTTCTCTGCCCCTTTGAAATGTAAAGCTCCCACCTTTGGAAATATAATCATTAAGAAAGACAGTGGCCCTATCTCAGTGTCAATTAGCAAACAGAATTGTCCTGATCATTTTGACCAAACCTCCCTGCTAATGTCCTCCAGTACTCTTATATTAGCTCACCCCAGTGCTTAAAGCCTTTCTTGCCTTTTGCTTAAAAATATTTGAGATCAGGGCCTCCCATGGTAGTGCAGGTGGTTGAGCGCAGCGCTGTGAAGCTATCCGCAGCCTCTGCAGCACCAGTTAGATCCCGGCCTGCCGGCGAGGGTCCCACATGGCACGCCAGACCTCTCCTGTCTCGCCAGCTACACCCCTCAGCTGTGTATTTTGTCAGTCTGCCTGTTCTGTTCCCTGCTCTGTCTCTGATGAATCCTTTCACCCTCCCACGCATCTGGCCTGTACCCCAGTTCTTGGATAAATAAATAAATAAATCTTTAAAAAAAATTTTGAGTTCAATCCTTTCCCCCTATTGTACTAGTAAAAGTCTTGGCCTATTTAAGTCTGTCAAGTCAATTTTTCTTTGAAACTATGTTACAGGGCAACCCTAATGTGAAATGGGTTGATGAAAAAAAGAAGGCTTCTTGTATGTAAGCTCTGATAAGAAGCTAATCAGTATGGGGAAGCTTCTGGAGGGTTACATAGATTGGCTACTTATATAATTAGTTTGGGGCTTCCTCTGGTGCATCCTGAGTTGAAAGGGTGCAAAAAGAAAAATGGTGAAGGTAGTAGTCCTTGGTCAAGTCCTATTTTTGCTGGACTGACAGCCTCAGAGACTGTGGTTTGTTTTCCCCAGCTAGTTGTTCCAAACATTATAGGTCGGAGTTTACTACAATCTGACTAAGTAGTACTAATTTCATAGGGTTTTTTTCTATGAGTAAGTTAATAATACTGTGAACAGTGCCTGGCATGCAATAAATATTTGAAATTAACTGTTATTATTAGTGTTGTAGTGTCTGGTTCCCTTTATCCTAGCAGACTTTAGTCTAATCTTTCATTAATAAAAAGCAGAAGATACACAACAGATATCAAGCTGAAACCAGTGATTTTTACTAAGACATAAAAATATATATATGTATATTTCATATGTTATCACATGGTCTAGCTAGTGGCCATCTATATATTCAGCCTCTAATGAATTTTAGGACAGTTGAGAAGACTGACTTAGAAACTAGATAACCTAGTCAACAGAATTCTGTAACATCCAGTTATGGAACAGTTGGCTTTTTTTTTTTTTTTTGAAAAAAAAATCACGTAACATTTATTTCTTAGAAATAGACAGAATACAGCATTGTTAGTAGTTTCTTTATGGGATGAAATATACTTTATAGGTCATTCCTGACTTTCAACACCAACAGTCTATGTAATGAATAGGTTCCACCTAACAAAGTAAATAGAACAGTGTAGAGTCCTCCTAGGCACAGTAAACCAGTGATTACTGAAGTTTTTGGTACATAAATCTAATCTTAAGACTGGTTTGTTAGACTATTTATCCCAGGTTCAAAACCCTGAGTGCTGAAACTGACTTGTGTTTACTAGATCATATTTAGGCACATGTCCTACTTCTAGAACTATCTTGTGACTTCAAGCTTATTTTGAAAGCTGACTAGGTTCACAGAAAAGTTAGTACGTTTGAATATCCTGAATCCATCTTACTTGGGAAAGATATAGTAGGTAGGTATAAGGACACCAGATAATTTTTACCAAACCAAGTCTACTTTTGTTTGAGGGAAAGTATGTCCTGAATTAACTCCGCAAATAGGTTTTATGAACTCCACCCCTACTCCAGACCAAAGATATCCAAGACATCAAGAACTACAAATCCCATAATGTCATCATCACTGAAGGAAGGATTGCTGGGACCTGAGGGTAGAGTTAAGCAGTCAGGCTTGGTATAAAACCAGACATGTGGGCTTTGGGGGTCTCTTGGTTTTTCACCAGCTCTCAACGTGCTATTTGGGATTCCAGCTCAGCAGAACTGGTAGGACTCATTCACAAATTTATCTCCCTCTTTTTCTCTCTGAGTTATTCATTTCTTCATTTCCCCTTCTTTTATAAATAAACCCTCTATTAATTTTTTTGCATGTGCCCACGGTTGAGTATTATTATAAGTCCTTTTTAAGAGCCACAGGTAAGGGCCCACAGTCAGACAACCCATTTCTTATCAGGGTTGTCCTATAACACTTTCAGGGAGGATTTTGAAGGATTCTCTGCTTCTGTAAGGATTCTGTAAAGATTCTCTGACAATAGGTGTCCATGACTCAGAAAAGCCAGGATGCTGCCTACAAATGTCCCAAGCCAGCTTCAATATTAACCCAGATACTGGAGTTGTCAGTTTCACACTATACCTTTTCTCTATCCCAACATAACGGGATGAAAAAGTCTACAAACTTATAAGTGAAATCTTATCATCAAAATGTTGAAGTAAAGAGAGGTGATTCTGTGATTTCTATTCTGTGCTATGCTAAGGCAGAATTCATCCCAGGGATGATCAATAAGTAGTGTGTATTTAGAGATTTTAAAACAATGATAAAGTGGAACTAAAAATTTGTCTGCTTTTTTATCATCACGTCTGTTTAGTGATAAAATCATGCTCTGGAAACAAAACCTATTACTGATCAAAATTCAAAAAAAAATTTTGATTACAGTTTGAATTTAATAATAAATCTGTAACCTTCAAAATAGTACATTAAAATTTTCTGTGGAAGGTCATTTTTAAAAACTTTAGACAAACAATAAGTGTTTCTTTAATACCTCTATATTTTCTCTCTCACACACGGACATTGGCACATACAGAGAATTAGTTACATGCATTCATTTTGAGATTAAATCCCTAAAGATTCAAAATTTTTCAAACTCTTGGAGTATATTTTCAAACTCTTGGAATATATCTACAAACTCTTTATATTTCAAGAGTAGATTTAAGATAAATAATAACAATTGCAGTGATTTTATTTTTAATAATAAATTTTATTTTTATATTCCCCATACAATTGCAACCCCCTTATTTTGACCCCAAGCCCTCCCCTCCCACCCCCTACCCCCCATAGAGTGTCTCTGGTTCATAGTTTTTTGTTGATTTTGATTTTCACTTTCTTATAGTTCTTCATTTTCCTGGTCCCTTGTTTAAGTTTTCTAGATTCCTGCTATGAGTGAGACCATCCGGTATTTTTCTTTTTCTTTCTGACTTATTTCGCTGGGCATGATCCCTTCCAGCGCCATCCATGTTGCTGCAAATTGCATGTGTCTATCTTTTTTGAATGCTGAGTAATATTCCATGGTATATTTGTACCACATCTTCTTGATCCAGTCATCTATTTTTGGGCATTTGGGCTGTTTCCAAAGCTTAGCTATTGTAAATAGTGCTGCTATAAACATAGGGGTGCAGGTGTTCTTTGGAATTGATGTTTCTGTGTCCTTTGGGTAAATACCTAGGAGTGGGATTGCTGGATCATATGGAAGCTCTATGTTTAGTAGGTCAAGAAATCTCCACACAGCTCTCCATAGTGGTTGGACCAGTTTGCACTCCCACCAACAGTGCAGAAGAGTTCCTTTTTCTCCACACCCTCGCCAACATTTGTTGTTGCTAGTTTTTTTAATTTGCAGTGATTTTTTTAAAAAGAGCTTGAGGTACTTCAGTTTCTGACTGAGATTTACTATGTGTAAACTTAAAAATAGGAAAAGAGCAAATGTAATATTTTTTGTTTGAGAAGTAATTTACACATGAGTTATTTTATTGGATTTGAATATTTTATTTAACAAGAAAGTTATTGTCCATTTCAAAACTAAAGAGTGAATCAAGACAATAAAACATTACAAGAGTAGAATATAATTTAGTAGTTTTCCTGTTTCATTTATAGAATTTTCAGTTTTGTTGTTTACTTGACAATTTTTTTATTTACTTGACAATGACTTACATAAGTTATCATTATATCAAACTAACTAAAGTATTAAAATTATTATTTGTTTTACCTTATGACTATTACCAAATGTTATTTAGTCACATTGGTATTAAAAATTTCTTGCTTCTGGTATCAGATTTACTAAGTATGTCACTGCTAATATGTAGCTATAAAGACATAAAAATGGAGAACTGGAAGAATTGGAATTAAAAGACAGATTTCCTGATGTCTAAGCAAAGCTGTTTGTATTATTTCCTGTGTGAGAGAAAGCAGTCCACTAATTAATCATGGATTTAGAATTAACTAATATATTGTTGAACACCAGTTATGAACAAAGTGCAACTCATGAAATACAATTACCTCTTGAATGTGTTCACTTAGTAAGTTAAAATAAAAATAAACAGGTCCCATTTCTTTATCATATGTGGTTTTGTTTAGTTTAACCTAATAGTCAGGGAACCTGATTATTCTCCATTTAACTTGTTCTAAAAAGGTTTTGTGGAAAATGCTTTATTGGGGATGACCAAGAGGGTCTAAGATTCCCCTCAGTTTGACTAAAATATAGACAGGTTTGTTCCCTACTAGAGGTTCTGATCTCCCTTTTCCTTTTTCTAGTTCCTTAGATTTAGTTATGCATACAAGAACCAGGGTGTAGGCCATACGTGTGTGGGGTGGGTGAGTGAGAGGATTCATCAGAGACAGAGTGGGGAGCAGAACAGGTGGATCTACTGAAATACACTGCTGAGGGGAGCAGCGGGCAAGATAGGCGAGGTCTGCTGCGCCATGTGGGTTAGCTCCCTGGCCCTGGCCAGGGATCAAACTCAAGCTGCAGTGGTTGGAGATAGCTTGATAGTGCTGAGACTTAATCCCTGCACCACCAGGGATGACCTCCCTTTCCTTAGGCAATTACTTGAGAAAACTTTCAGTTATAAAGTGTTCTCTGACCCTTTGAGAATGTAAATCTTTTTAAAAAATCTCTTTTACAATAATTCAATTTTACAAAAATCAATTTTATAATCCAGGATTATCTTTCTCAGGAACCTGGGAGTCATCCTTTTGAAATGTCATCAAAGAAGATAGCACCCCTATCTCCAAGTCTCTGTGGGAGGATGGAGCCTCACTGCAATGGACACTAATTAGCAAACACAGATAAGTGCTCTAGTCACAGAGGAAAAACAATTAAGAAGTAACTCAGAGAGCTGGACATATGCCACTGATCAACCTCACTGCTAACATCCTCCAGTGCTTTTCCATGAGCTCACCTCAGCATTGAAAAACTTCCTCATGTTGTTTCAACAGAGTTGAGTTCAGATTAAATTCTGGCCTTTTTTCCCAGTTGCAATACCCTTAAATAACGTCTTTCTTGACTGTTTAACTTTATCCAGTGTAATTTTTGCTTTAACAAAGTTCAGATAAGAGCAAAGGAATAGTATTTATATTGATGATGAAATACATTTTACTTCATAAAGGCTAAGGATGCTCTAGTTTCAGGTGAACTGACAACAATTTCTTTATTTTGCTGACAGAATTCCTGCATAGACCTTTACTGGTATTTCAGAGCACTGAACACAGATGTGAGGTCTTCAAATTCCAATTAAGTCAGGAGAAGGAAGCTTCACTGTTGACCTCAGTAACCTAGCTGTATTCACAAGCAACGATCTACTATTAAACATCCTTTTTTATCTATTCCCAGAATAAAAAAAAAAGTCTTATATTTACTGTTATCTTTATTTAAGTGTTGAATTTTTTTCAATGCAGCTTTGAAGATGTTCATGGACATCCTAGGACACAACATTAAACGTGCCCCCCCTTCCACTCCAACCTGACCAATTAGAACTATTGATGGATGATACTTAGGTCCATCTCATATGCCTTGGAAGAAAAGGATAGTTTCAGTTTGAGGGTCAAAACTCTAGAGCACCAAGTGAAGGTTCTATTTATCAAATTTCTGTTCATTTGCTTCGTCTTAGGGAATGGCAGTAGGAGGTTTCTAGTATAATGACTAGCACAGGGATTCAGTGTGATCTGCCATGAGAACCCTCTGCAAATATGTGGCTGACTACTTAACATAATGCTGAAATGCTCAGCAGAATATAATGAGCAATGAAATCCAGAAATGAAAGTCCATGCTTAGGGCCACAAGACAACACCAAAAACCTGGGCTGCAGCTCTCATGCAGAGCCTACATCTAGAACAAAGCACATATCTTGTAAGGCATTGGTCGAGTGGTGAAGCCAATGTCTGGGCTTAGGTCCAGGTCCAGATGGGAGATCCCAGGGGATGGCTGAAAGGTGAACTTCTGCATGAGGCTGGTGAAGAAAAGGAAAAGTTCCATCTTGGCCAGTGACTCGCCAGCACACATCCGGCGACCTGGAGAGGTGAACATGGTGGAGAGGTAAACATATCTGAAAAACAATCACAACAAAGACAAAATCCATCCAGGTATGATTTTTCCCACTTTAGAATGTGTGAAAAGTGGTCACTTTGGGGAGGTGGTACAGGAGATAAGTCTCAGCACTCAGCACTATCAAGTTATGGCCACTCACTGCAGCATGAGTTTGATCTCCTCCAGGAGCTACCCACATGGCGCAGCAGACCTCTCCTGGCTTACCTGCTGTTCCCCTCAGCAGTGTATTTCAGTAGATTTGCCTGTTCTGCTCCTCACTCTCACTTGCTGCATCTCTGGCCTACACCCTAGTTCTTGTATGCATAAATAAATAAAAATAATTTTTTAAAAGATTTATTTATTTATACAAGAACCAGGGTACAGGCCAGATGTGCGGGAGGGTGAGAGGATTCACCAGAGACAGAGCAGGGAACAGAACAGGCAGACCAACAGAAATACTCTGCTCAGGGAAGCAGCGGGCGAGACAAGAGAGGTCTGCCCGCTCATGTGGGTCGCTCCACGTCCGGCAGGGATCAAACTGGCACTGCAGAGGCTGTGGACAGCTTCACAGCGCTGCGCTCAACCGCCTGCGCCACCAGGGGAGGCCCTAAAAATAAATCTTACCAAAAAAAGCGGTTACTTCATCTCTTTTGAAGGGGCTCTGTTTCCCAGGTTAAGTATGGGAAACACAAAACTGAGTATATAAGTCAGTTCTATCTTTAAGCTCCCATAAGGGAGGCAAGCAATTAAACATTGCCATTTCAATGTGAAAATATTGACAGGTAAAGCCAAATGTGTCATGAGAACACATAGGAAAGGTACCTATGAAGAGCCAGGGAGGACTCGCTTTTTGTATGTGTGAAAACTTTATATCTATGTTCTTGTACAAAGTGTGAGCAGAAATTAGCCTTCTTAAATGGGGGAAGATGTGGAAGGGCTATGATGCATTTGAGGACTGAAAGAAATTTGATTCTGGCTAGAGCATGGAGTATGAGGTAGCTAGTCTCAGACCTGACTCTGAGGGAGCCATCGAACTGACACTGTGCTGAAGATTTTTAAGAGAGATGTTGGTATTATTTTTTTTAAAGATTTATTTATTCATACAAGAGCTAGGGTACAGGCCAGAGATCTGATGGAGGACAGCACTTCCAGCTATGCCTCTGGAACCTCTTGCTTTATTTTTTAATTTTTTTAAAGATTTATTTATTTTTGCATACAAGAGCTGGGGTGTAGGTCAGAGGTGCAGAGGATGGGGTGAAGAGGATTCACCAGAGACAGAGTGGGGAACAGAACAGGCTGATTGACTGAAATACACTGCTGAGGGGAGCAGCAGGCGAGACAGGAGAGGTCTGCTGTACCATGTGGGTTGCTCCCTGGCTGGCCGGGGATTGAACTCGTGCTGCAGAGGCTGCGGATTGCTTCATAGTGTGGTGCTTAACCCCTTGTGCCACCAGGGAGGCCTCCTAATTCCCCACTCTTAATTCCTAAATGAAAATAACCATACTCCAAGACTAGATTATAATAGTTTCTAAAATGATCTTCCTCCCTCCAGCTCTCCTCTTTACATGTTAATTTAAAGTATTATTTATAAAATACATTTGTCCAAAATAGGTATTAATTTTACTCTAGCTGGTCTACCTTTCCTTCCTCCTTCTCTCCACCCCTCCCTCCCTCTCTCAAAAATTATAATTTAAGGAAGTGTTGAGAGAAATTGATTTCACAACACTGCAAATTATATATAGATTGTTTTATTTCCTTTAACTTTTCTGGTTCAAGATATAATCTTTTTTAAATTTTAAAATAGGAGTTATTAATACATGTAGCATTTTCTTCTAATTATCCTATGTGCGTATATAAAAAATTAGAATGAATGTGGTTTGTGCATCTCTGTTATTAGTGGTGTCAATCTTTAGTGTGGCTGGTGTTTCCCTATCTCTGAATGGGGTTCCAAAAGTTAAAGCTAAGTGGTTGTTTGTATAAGTGGAGGGGCTAATGCACAATTTTGTTAAGACTCTTCCCCAGGAATGAAGAAGAATTCATTTCAGGTTCTTAGATATTCAGACAATCACAGAGTCAGTTCATTTAGTTCCCTGAATTTCAAATATTACAGTACTTCCTTCCTGAGGAATCCTGAGAAAAACACTGGTATTTTCACATATTTAAGCAACACTTTTCTTACTGAAGTGAAGTAGGCTGCCCAAATTTAACTTTTGTCTGGAGTTCCTGAGGCTCTACCTGGATCTCAGCCACAGGATTATTTAAGGATCCTTTAAGACAGGCTTCGAGTGCCAACTGCCTCACAGCCAATTGAAAGCCAACAGAGCATAAGATAGATCCCTGATCTTTCCTCTCTTCCAAATTTCTAAAGTTTTGTGTCACATGGAAAAATATAAAAATCTTAGTCCTGTCCGAAGTCAAGGCCAATTCTCTCCAGACTTTTCAAACTATTTTTCTCAAGTAACATATCTTACCAATTGAAAAGGGCATGAAAGCTTCTTTCTTGATAAACTTTCCAGTAGAGCTGAGGAAATGTTCTGGATTGAATGTGTCTGGTTTCTCCCACTGTGTTTGATCTCGAAGTACTGAGGTCAGTAAAGTGATGACTTCGGTGTCCTGGTATAAAAATGTTAGAAGTGACTAAGATTAAATTCCTTCCTAAAAATATGACTCTTTAAAGATGGATGACTCCCATGGGCAGCAGTTTTTGAGAAACAGTATGCTCCAGGAGGAAATAGAAGGTGGGCATGAAGGAGTGGCAAAGAGGCAGGTAGGGATTGAGACAGAGTATGGAATATTTATTTTCTGAAACAAATTTTCCTTCAGTTCCTACTAAAAACCAGAAGCACTGGATCCAGAACTTGGAACAAATTCTAACTTAGTCATGCCTTTGCTATGTGGTAATGGCATTTTATTTACCTTGATAAATCCCAGTTTCCGAATTTGTGTGATGTAAAGTAGCCTTTATTTGGATACAGTGAGCCTTTAGGTATGAAACAATCTACACAGTTCCCTGCAGATTTGGTGGCTCATTGAAGGTTTGTTCTTTTACCTCCAGGGACTGTGATAGTGAACCAATTAAATATAACATGTCCGTCAATGCAAGAGTCTCAAAAACAAGCAATTCACTTCCATGGCTCTCAACATAGTTAGAAACAGTTTAGGATCATCTAAGGAGTATTTTGTTGTTGTTGTTAATGAGTGTTTTTATTTTTATTTATTTGTTTGCATAGACAAACTGGGGTGTAGGCCAGAGGTATAGGAGGTGAAAGGATTCACCAGAGACAGAGTGGGGAGCAGAACAGGTAGATCTACTGTAATACTCTGCTGAGGAGCAAGATAGAAGAGATCTGCTGCACCATGTGGGTTAGCTCCCTGGCTGGGGATCAAACTCAGGCCATAATGGTGATAGCTCTAAGACTTTAACCCCAAGGCCACCAGGGAGGCCCAGGAAGTATTTTTAATTGTGATACAGAAAACAGTATTCTAAATACTGAGAGTAAAATTAAATGATAAAACAAAGCCTGCCCCTAAATGAAGGACAATATCCGCCACTTCACTTTAGTTTATCACAACTTCCTCTTGAAGAAAACTTTGGAATATTAGCATTGAAGTTAGCTATTTTTTTTAAAAGATTTATTTATTTATGCATACAAGAAGTGGGGTATAGGCTAGAGGTGCAGGGAGGTGAGGGGATTCACCAGAGACAGAGTGGGGAGCAGAACAGGAAGATGCACTGAAATACACTGCTGAAGGGAACAGCAGGCAAGACAGGAGAGGTCTGCTGCGCCATGTGGGTAGCTCCCTGGCTAGCCAGGGATCAAACTCTGTGCTGTGCTTAACCCCTTGTGCCACCAGGGAGGCCCTGAAGTTAGCTATTCTTATCTGTTGTTTTCTAGTCATGAGAAGAAACAACTGCTTTAATGTATTTTTTTACAATTATTTATTCAGTTAATGTTTATTTGTTTCCCGTACATTTTACAGGAATCTTCTCTTCATAACAACCATACAGCATGATTTTTATTTCACAAAAGAGAAGGCTGGGATTCAAGGACGTTAAAAAACTAACACCCAGTGGCATGGTAGGTCAACTAGATCCCCTATAACTGCAAGGTTCTTTCTGTTACAATGCTCAAAATAGTTCACAGCCTCGTCTATAACTGGATATAAAATCTTGCCATTATTATTGCTTCCTTGCTGGCTTCCTTTTTATTTTTTGACAGTGATTGCATTTGTTTTTCCATTTCAGTTGCAGATTTGCTTAAGTCAAATAATGCGCTTAATGTGTGCTGAGAACAGAAGCTCTGCAGATGGGTGTGGCCCCTTTGCTTTGAGGCTTATTCACAGTGTAGGAAGTGATAGTGTAGGGTGGGGTCCACATAACTCATGCTTCCCTGGGTTCACACAGAGATGGGTCCAGGACCAGTGAACTAATTACCAAGGAAAAGAGTGAGTGCTGAGACCTGTGAATGGAGCATGACTTTATGACAATTCCTTCCAGTTCAGTTTTAGGAACGATCTATGCATGTGTCCTCAGCTTTCCAGTGGACATGATCAGCTTTACTGAGATGTCTTAATATTAGGAGGCAGAGGGCCAGGGGCAGGTTTCTGTGTGAGGACTGAGTGAGGTGTGGCGGTACCGTGGGAGAAGGTGAAAGTGTAAGATGGCACACCTTTCCTGGAATCCTGGCTTCCTTATACACCAACCTAGTTTAAACTCTCTGAACCCCATTTTCTTCAATCATAAAATAAAAAATAATAATGCCTTGAAAAGTTGCACAGAATAAGTATCACCTATTACTTATATATGCAGAGATGGACACTGAGTGACACCTATTACTTACATTTACAGAGACCTTTTGTTGTATGGTAGGGAGAGAGAAGACAAGTTGGGAGGGGGGTAAGGAAGGGAGAGAGAGAAGAAAGACAGGTCGAGATTGTGATAGATTATCTTTTTTTTAAGATGTATTTATTTATGCATACAAGAGCTGGGGTACAGACCAGAGATGCAGGGATGAGAGGATTCACCAGAGACAGAGCGGGGAACAGAACAGGCAGACTGAATGAAATACACTGCTGAGGGGAGCAGCGGGTGAGACAGGAGAGGTCTTCTGTGCCAGGTGTGTTGCTCCCCGGCCGGCGAGGGATCGAACTCATGCTGCAGAGGCTTCGGATTGCCTCATAGTGCGGTGCCCAACCCCTTGCACCACCAGGGAGGCCCTGTGATAGATTATCTTAATGCTTCTGTGATTTTGAATCACTGTTCTTTCCCTCTCTCCACATCTCCCCATCTTAAACCCTTACCTTTGGAATAAAATAATTTTTAAATAAGACGTTCGTGGTCGTTGCATGAGGAACGCCTGTGGGCAGGATGTTAGCAAATCTCTGCACTTCATGAATGACGGCATCTGTGTATGGCAGTTGAGTTCGGTGTGCGATTCGCGGTTGCGCGGACCCCACAACCGACTTTATCTCATCATGGACCTTTTCTGTATCAAATGGAATTAAAGTGGTTAATGCGGTGGGAGGGGTTGTGGCAACAGTCTTCCTCATTTTCTTTGCCTGTGCAAGTCAAACCTAAGCGTTCCCTGAATTCTGCTCACCCTTTTCCTGCACTGCTTCCACCCCTAGACCCAACCTAATGCGCCTCTGGGACCTGTTTGTAGTGACATTTTCAGATCATCTCAGACATAGAGGGCACCATCTACTGGCTTATCCTGAAAGGAAACAAAAGGTACAAACTGTCCCCAAGGGTGCAAACAGAAGGTATCCAGTAATGGCTGTGGAATTCTTCACCATTCAGTGCAAGACATTTGTGACTGCGCCCCTGTAGGCGACGTTCTGAATCCTGGGAGACTCACTCTGGATCTCAGGATAGCGCATCATGAGCAGGATCGCCCAGCGCAGCGTGGAGGCGGTGGTCTCCGTTCCTGCCACAAACAGGTTGCTAACCAGTGCCACCAGATTTTCATCACTGAAATAGTTAGTAGATGTATTTTTCTCCTGAAAAAAGGGAGATATATCATTAGTGATGACATTATTTTATAGTGGACAACCGTAATAAATAACGTAGCATGAATTAAAAACAACTACAACAACAAATGTTGTATTCTTCCCTCAAAGGAGTGGATTTTTTTTTAAATGAGAAATGTGTAGAATTTTAGAGTGAAGCACATCACAGATGCTAATAATGATAAATAATTTTAACTCTGGAAAATGTTCTTGGCCATTTAGAAAAATTAGGAATTAGTTTTTAATAGATTGACTAGAATATTCCAAACATGATGTTTTTCTGATTAAGTAATAATTCTCGGGTATTTTGACTGATATTGAAACAAGAAGTATTAATTGTAAAAGCTGCTGACATATCTGAGATCCTGTATATGTTTTGTTCCCCCCTAAAGCCCAGTGATTTTAAAAGTGGTGGAAAATACTCGAGAATGCGAACTATAATAAGTAACATCATTGTAGTGTACAAATAAATATTATTAACGTAAATGATTCTAGCTTTCTTCTTTGAAAGGAATAATTTTCAATCAGATACTATTGATTACACCAAGTAATTAACAATAGGCTAAAGTAACCCTGAAATAAAACTCTTACCTCCAGCTGTTTCACCAAAAAGGCATCAATGAAACTTCTTGGATCATTTTTGTCCAGTTTATGACGATAATCTAAGAAAGTCATCCTTACAAAAGAAAATAATTCATCTCTATTCCTGAGTACTGTTTTAAGACTTTTTAGGAAAAGTCCCAAAGCAGGAAATGTGTTAAAAAACTGAAAGAATGAAAAACCAACAAAGTAAATTAAATATACATACACGGTGCATGAATTATAAGAATGACACCATTATTTTTGAAAACATTATAGAAATAATATCTGATATAGATTTGAATTTTATCTCAATTAACAGTGCAGACTAAATTAGAAAAGGAAATCTCACAGGAATTAAGTATCTTACAAGACTATTGATGTGGCTTAAAGTAAGATCTATGTATTCAGTTCATTTTGTGTTTTATGTTTTTGGTAGTGGATGTACTTACATGAGATATGAAAATAATGTGAAATTTATGGTCAGAGCTTGTAAATCTAAATGTTTTTCAGAAAATTCCAGATAACTTCAGGTAATCAACCTAGTATTTTAGTTTCGTGTAACACACTAAATTTACCACTAATAATTCCTGTAGAAGCAGCATAATTATATTTTAATTTTATAATAGGCTTACTGTCTTTGGGTCCCATAGAGCAACATCATTGAATCTAATATTCTTTGACACTTAAAGAGTTTCGGAAGGATTTCGCAGTTTGCTAAATTTGTGTGTTTGTCAGTGTATTCATTTATTGAGAGATAAATTCTCCTTTATTTCTCAAATTCTCAAAGGAGTTCCTAATTCTCCAAGTGACTTAATAAATATTAGAGATAAAACGTCATGCCCAAATTAGACATTATATTTGCCTGATCCATCTGTATTTAGAGTATACTTGCATTTATAATGTCAGAATCCAAATTCTTGTAAAGTGAAATAATATGTTTGATCGTTAGTGGTGTTTTCAAAAAGAAGAACTATTTGACAAAACTCTTTTTTTTTTATATTCTAGAAAATTGCGATTTGTCACCTGCAAATATATAAAAAAAGATTGTGGCACTGTTATGAATTTACATGATTAATACATATTGAGATTTTACTAACTACTTTTTTTTTTTTGGTTTTTGATACTTCTCTGTTGTTAAAATTCACTTTCCCAAATGAATTCTACTAATTTCTCCTTTTTCACTCATTACTTACCTAACATTTCATGCATAATTAGTGACATCAGTAAAAGATGAATAGCCAAGTTTATAACATTTTGCTGAAGTAGTATAATAAATGATCTCTTGGTGTGATTAACAAAATACTTGCATCATTTTAATGCAATATTTTTTGATGGGAAAATTACAACACATGTTAAGCAGGTTTGTCAGAATTTTCTATGAAGTATACAGTTTTGTAGTGGCAGTTCTTTAATAAAAACTTTTTCATACCTTTTTGAACAATCAAGTATATCTTAGAGAAACTGAGTGAATAAGAAAGAGTTACCAGAATTCCAGGAGTGCCTACGAGTTTCACATTTTCACCAATCAAATTTAAGAGTCTCAGAAACTGGGTGTCCTGGTAGTCAAATCGTTTTCCAAGTAACACAGACACAATGACGTTAGCAACAGAAGCATTCATTACTGTGTTGATCCCAAAGGGCTTCCCTACAAGAAATTTATTAATCACACTAGGAATATTTACATGTACAGTGTTAAACTAGTTATATACTAATTTGGACAGATGGTGATAGAATTTCATAGAAGAGAGGGATTATTAGAGGTCTTCCATGGAGGGGAGACTAGACTGGGTACTGAAAAAGACCTAGAATTTGAACGTGCCAGCTTAGCTATTTCAGTGTGTGTGTGTGTGTGTGTGTGGGTGGGTGGGTGTGTGTATCGGGGTTTTAATGCATAATATCTGGGAAAATATCATTTCAACTTAGTAAGCTACACTCAAGTTTAAAAGTTTAAAATAGGACATCTATGTAAAGCAATTCTACTTTAAGGAACTTCAGAACAATTCTTTGTTTCAGTCTCTTATGCTACTACGTCATTGATAATGACTCAGATTATTAAACATGTATCAGCAGGAAAGCATTTATTTACTTTTTTTAGTTCAGGAATAATCAATATATTTAATTTATTTATTTATTTATTTATTTTAAGATTTATTGATTTATTTATACGAGCATTGGGTACAGTCAGAAGCTCAGGAGGGTGAGAGAATTCACCAGAGCCAGAGTGGGGAACAGAATAGGCAGACTGATGAAATACACTGCTGAGGGAAACACAGGGTGAGACAGGAGAGGTCTGCCAGGCCATGTGGGACCCTCGCCGGCGGCTGGGGATTGAACCGGCGCTGCAGAGACTGCGGGCAACTTCGCAGCCCAGTCCTCAACCACTGTGCCACCAGGGAATGCCCTAATTTATTTATTTTTATTGAGGTAACATTAGTTTATAACATTGTGTATGATTCAGAGATATAAGTTCATACATCTTTAAATGTATGTTGCCACAACAAATCCGCCTCTGAGGCACCCATAGTTCTCCACTATAGTTCATTGCACTCCCCCCCACTCTTTGCTCTTTACCATTCTTTTCCCCCTCTGTTATTCTCAATTTTGCAGTCAGATTTCTATACATGACAACAAAATGCAATGCATAATTCAACATTTTATTTTGCTATTTAGTATATTAATGATACACTAGCAAAACCAGAATAAGTTCTAAAACCATGTCAATGTTAATATCTAGATTGTTTGAAATTGTACTTTTGCCAAAAAAAAAAAAAAAACAACAAAAGAAAATGCTTTTGTTTTTGTTTCAGGGAATTATTCTGACTACTTCGCAATGAGACAGTGTGTCTGCAAAGTACCCTGAAACAGTTCTAGGAGAGAAAGAACACAACTGTAAAATGCTGATATCAGGGAATCTTAGCGAGGAATAAAAGTGTATTTGGATTATTTGTATATCTTGGAATTTTCATACAAGTCTGAAATGTCAAAATAATAAACAACTATATCTTATGACCAAATTAGTGGTCACCAGAAGGGAGGGGGAATATGAAAGCGGTCAATTTTATGGGGAAGGATAAAATTGAACTTTTAGTGGTAAACTCTTAATGTAGTATATACAGATATTGACTTAAGATGCACAGCTGAACACAGCAATGTTGTCAATAAAAATTATAAATAAGTATGCCTTTTTCTAACTTCTTTATCATAGAAAATAAGATGTGGTTTTTATTTGTTCAACGCACCTCTGTGAGACTCAAAGTTCTGTATAAGATGTTGACATTCCTCGATAATTATGTCTTCTATGACCGATTTGCCCATGCCAAAGTCCCTTAAGGTGGTCAAGCTGAATCTTCTCATAGTTTTCCAAGTTTCCCCATGAGAGAAGACAATACCTTAAAATGAGGAAAATTATTTCATTAAAACTTTCAAGATTGAATTTGCAAGGACAAGTGAAAGTAAAAAGAGATAATTTTCACTGTTGAAAGTTAAGTGAGGAGACATAAACTCTTTTTCATACAACATCTACTTTAGAAAACTTTATAAGTACTGTCTCCTCTTTTTGAATCATGTATATATCATTTTGAAAACTAGATAGGGTTTAGGACCTAGGAATGTCTTTCCTAGGAACCTGGGAAACAGACAAACCTTTGGAATGTAAACATCAAGGTAGAGAGTGTCCCTATCTGTCAGTTTCTGTAGAAAAGTTGGAGCTTAATTTTGGTGGGTTGCAAAGTTTTCCAAGTTGTAAAACTATCACCTGTCATAATATAATGAAAAGTTTATTTTCCTTCATGTAAAACCAGTTAACACAATGGTGACTCCAATTATTAGGTGAATGTAAGATAAACTAACTATACCTGACAAATAATGCTGTCTATTTCGCTTGATGACAAGTTATTGCTTATCTTGAGAATATGTTTGTAATGGGTTGTATCTACTTGATTATATGAAAGGGTAAGATTTCTTTCTTTCTTTGCAGTCTTTTAGAGGATTGTCTGTAATGTGCATCACATTCAGGCTTAATGGTTATTCAATAAGAAAATAATTTTTTTTATTATCTTTATGGGGAAAAGGATTTCTGAGTTTTGGTGAAGAGATTATTGAACAATAGGAAACAAAAGTCTTTTCTGACCAGGGAAAAATACAGACTTATGGACAAGTTATGCAACCAAATAATTTATTAAGGTGAAGTAACAAATATTCCAAAATAGTGTAATGGTAATCAAGCATTAAAATTTTATTTTGTTTATGCTAAATTAGTCTAAATAATGCTCATATATATTTGAATGATTTTGGATTAGTAGACTGGGAGAGGTGAAATTTGCCCTTTTCCTCTTCGAATAATATTCTTATGATCACTTAAGTTACTTAAAAAATGATTTCTAAAATGAATGACTTATGGGGGAAAATTAGATTTGATAGCAATAAAATTAAAATAATTTTATAAAATCAGTCAGTAATCTTTGAGATATTGTGGTAAAGAGCAGAAATGCCAGTGACAAGAAGGTATCCCAAATTTCTAGAAAGAATAAAAGAAGAAACAACAGATCAGAGTACTTGAATTACCCTTATTTCTCAGTGCTGACATCATGGAATATTAATGGTAATTCTAAGAGAAAGAAATGTCCCTAATAAGGACTAATAGGTATGGAAAAATTGGATTAAATTAAATTAAACAGACTTGATTTTCTCAAAGGCTTTGGTATACTTAATAGATGCCCCAAAAGTCCAAAGAAAGGTCTATGATATATAGCATTTCTCAAATTCAACTCACTGATACTGTTATTCTCACACAAAACATGCAACATCTCATGAAACTATTAGTCTGAGGAAAATAATGTGGGAAATACTTTTTAAAAAGGTTTGTGAAGAATTAAAATGGTGAAGTTGTATTTACTAGGAGTCAATATTAGTTTACTAAAAATAATGTCAGGATGAAACAATTCCCATTTTTGAAAGGTTATTAAGTTAATCTTAATGAGTTAGAGATTTTTATTAGTGTTAAAGAGTTAATGTGATAATTTAAAGAGTTTAGTGAACTGCCACAAATGTTGAGTATTAGGATTTTACAAGGCATTTAGCAAAAATTCACATGAACAAGATAAAACTTTATCCGGGTGAAAATATTATCCAACCTAAATGTCCCAAAACAGAAGACTGATCAAGAAGATGTAGTGTGTGTGTGTGTGTGTGTGTGTATAATGTGTGTATATATACACACACACTATACTCAGTGATATATATACTATATAAGTGTAGAGTATATATATATATGTGTATATATATTATAAAAGTGATAAAAAGGTGGTAAAAAAGTGATAAAAGAAGATAAACTCATGCCATTTGCATCAACATGGATGGAGCTGGAAGGAATTATGCTAAGGGAAATAAGTCAGAAGAAAAAAGATAAATATCAGATGGTTTTATTTATGTGTGGAATATAAAGAAACCAAACAAAGGGTCAGACAAAGACAAACCTTGTAAATTGACCATGGATATGAGGCATCTAGGAAGAAAGGGGAAGAGCACATGGGAGTATGGCAATGGTCTATCAGTGCTTTGGAGGTGGGACAACTATGGTGACCATACCTCATGGGAGAAATCAATATACTGTCCAAAAATTAAGAATGATGTAAAACAAAATACTTCATTTAAAAATAAACTAACTTATTTTTTTTTTTTAAAGAAAAGAAAATGTGATTCAGTGTGCTTACAATGTTCAATGTATTGTTTGATGGAGCTATGTCAGCCACTAGACTGTGACCTCTTAAAGCCGGTGGTTTAAGTTTCCTTTATCTTTGTATTTCCCTGGTATTTTACTTTCCCCTAGAAGCTGGTTAATCATTAATTGTTTAATACAGGTGATTATCATGTACAATGAAAATAAAACCATAGATAACACATTTCCTCCTAAGTAAATCCAGTTTGTGTAATATATCTTAATGAAGAAAATATTAAGGCATGACTAGAACTATGCAAGAGAATTTAGGGCAACTGATTTAATGATTTTAGCCACATGGTATATGTTTAAAGTTTGAAATTCATTACCTCTTCCTTCAAACATTTTTTCAAATATAGGCACTTGTGGTCGTTCTCCAAATTTATCACCATAATTAACCAAGGCATCTTTTACTGTTTTATATCCAGAGAGTACTACCACCTTCCTTGGTCCCAAATGGATACTGTAAATGGAGCCATATTTCTGGGAGAGCTTTGGTGCACAAGAAAAAGAGAAGGTACTAAAACATCATGCTATTATAAAAGGTGAACTTGATCTTATCTTTGGTAATTAGTTAATTTCAACAATCTAGTTTTATGGTCCTATGAAATGACAATGTTAGGATTATTTTATTCACAAAATATACTCCTGTGATTGCTATACCAATTTAAGCCATAATTATTATCATTATCAATTGATTGTCCTTAAACTTGATTTTGTATTTGATTTCATAGAAATAATGCTCTGACATCATAAAATTGACCCATGGTTTCTCCCCATTATATTTTGTTTGATCACAGAAAATGCCCACTCAGGACACCAAGATCGGAAAACTCAAGTCCTGATTTTTTCAATACCTAATAAGTCATTCTACTTGAGTCATTCTAACCTGTAAAATTATAATTAAAAGCATCATGTCTATTTTTTCCCCAGAGTGGTTGAGAGGAGTAAGTGAAATCCTGCAATACTTTGTAAATAAAAATATACAGTGATATTATGATGCTGTTCACTGAGGTAAAATTACATTCTTCTTTAGTGTTTAAAATTACAGGTATATAACAAAACTCAGTTTAAATATCTGCCCTTCAAAACTTGAAGATTGAACTTTATGGTTAGGTGCCAATTATGAATATTACATCATCTATTTTTATCCATCCATCCATCCATCTCTCAATCACTTATCTGATGCATCTTACTTTCTTTCTCTTTGTTTTTTCCTTCATTTCCTCCCACCCTCCCTCTTTCTCCTTTTCTTCCACCTCTCTCTCTCTACCTCTTTCTCTCTCTCTAATTATATATAATCTTTGAAGTAGAAATTGGAGATAATTGGTCCAGTAGGTAACTTAAGTCCTGTAATTTTACAGATGATGAGACAAAGATTAAGTTCTTACATAAATTTGCACAATTTTTTTTTCAATGAATGTTTTATTACATTACGAACACTTTCCTCGGTGAACCCAACAGTATCCATTTCCTTCCCTCGTGGAATTTCCATAAAAAAAGAATTAAAGGAATCTGATTTAGGCATCTGAGTGTCTCTGGGAGGGCACACCCTCTCTGGGGTCTGTTGTGAGGCTTAGTCTAGAATGGGAAGGACACTAAGGGATGTCCTATTGAGTGTATCACTAGCAACTTCTCACCCACTCTCTTCTCACCCACTCCATCATCCCAGAGCACACAAACCCCACAGATTAGGTCATAAGTAATAAAGAGGATAAACAAAATTAATAGCAAATTAATGGCAGCAAGAACTAAAATTCTGCATCTTAATGTATTAGGCCATACTCTTGATTGTGCCTTTTGTACAATTTTGAGTTGGTAACTAAGAGGCTAGAATAACATCAAAATTCATTTTCTTTGTAGTAGGTTATAAATGAAATATGTAGATCAAAATGGTTAAGATAAAGGTTACAGGTAATAAATAATCCAGGTAATATATATTCTTAGATATATTATATTTAAAACATATATATACACAAGGTTGAAAGAAACTTAGAGTTTAAAGCAGCTCTATTAATTTTGAATCCTATGTAGTTACCTAATTATACAGATATGAATCAATTATAAATATATACATGCTAATTAACCCATGAAGGTAAGCATAATCTAGGGAATTAGTTATAAATAGGCATGAAATGTATAATAATTTATTTTTTACCTCTAGCATGGTTTGATATGGCCTCTTCAGGTTGAGGATGTGCAGATTTCCAATGATTGGCAAAGGTCTGGGTCCTGGAGGAAAGTGGTGCTTGAGAGCTTTAGTCATGAAGAATTTAATATTTAAAATTAAAATAAGAATCAAGCTAAGAATTGAAAGTATGACAAAATAATCAAAACCCATCATTATCATCTGTAGAAGTAATTCTAAAGCAATAAAAATATTTGATTACAACCAAATAGAATCAGCAGCTTCAAATATAAATCAAAAACATGAAGGCACTTGTTAATAATTTTGCTTTAACCTATATATAGTCCACTGTCTAATTTATAGTTAGAATGAATTAAGTCCTATATGTATGCTTGTCTTATTCAAGTTCCTTTCCCCTTTCCTCCTTTTTATTTCTCAGTATAATCTGTCTTATTCCTCTAATAAGGAACGGAGGGGTTTTTTTTTCATGTAAACCAGGGATTAGTCTTAACACTCTAGAGAAATACACCATGTTTAATCATCAATGTGAAATCTACACTTTCACAATACAATCAGTTGTATTGTCTATTAAGGTACAGCATAGTCTGTGTGTGGTTCTTCAAATAACAATATCACACCAGAATATTAATGTTCTTCCAATTCTGTGTAACAGCCATTCCTTTGTTTACTGTCCCTTTTCTGGTAACCCTCTATTTCTCTTCCTTTCTTCAATGTCCCTTATCTTTGATAAAGTTTATTTAAGATGGAGATTGGAATCACGTGGATAAGTTACTCAGTCTTCATATGTATGGAGGATGTATTCATGTTGTTAAACTTCTTTTTCTCTTAAAAAATGTTCAAGTTTCGCCTATATTTCCTTCTATGTATTTTATGGTTTCAGGTCTTATGTCTAGTTCTTTAATCCATTTTGAGTTGATTTTTGTGTATGGTGTGAGGTAGTGGTCAAGCTTCATTCTTTTTCATGTAGCGACCCAGTTTTCCCAGCACCATTTATTGAACAAACTTTCTTTGCTCCAATGCATAGTCTTTGCTCCACATCAAAGACATCTTTACAGACACATCACCCAAAGCAGTGATAGTGAAGGCAAAGATAAACAGCTGGGACTACATCAAATTAAAGAGCTTCTGCACAGCAAAAGAGACAATAACAAAAACAAAGAGAAACCCCACCAAATGGGAGAACATTTTTGCACCCAACACTAATGATAAAGGACTGATCACAAAAATCTGCAAAGAGCTGATGAGACTCAGCAACAACAAAGAAAATAATCCAGTCAAAAAATGGGCAGAAGAGCTAAAAAGAAACTTCTCTGAAGAGGAAATGCAAATGGCCAACAGACATATGAAAAAATGTTCAACATCACTTGTAATCAGGGAAATGCAAATCAAAACTACCATGAGATACCATCTTACACCAGTGAGAATGGCACATATTAAAAAAACTAGCAACAACAAATGTTGGCGAGGGTGTGGAGAAAAAGGAACTCTTCTGCACTGTTGGTGGGAGTGCAAACTGGTCCAACCACTATGGAGAGCTGTGTGGAGATTTCTGGACCTACTAAACATAGAGCTTCCATATGATCCAGCAATTCCACTCCTAGGTATTTACCCAAAGGACACAGAAACATCAATTCCAAAGAGCACCTGCACCCCTATGTTTATAGCAGCACTATTTACAATAGCTAAGCTTTGGAAACAGCCCAAATGCCCAAAAATAGATGACTGGATCAAGAAGATGTGGTACATATACACGATAGAATATTACTCAGCATTCAAAAAAGATAAACACATGCAATTTGCAGAAACATGGATGGCACTGGAAGGGATCATGCTCAGCGAAATAAGCCAAAAAGAAAAAGAAAAATACCGGATGGTCTCACTCATAGCAGGAATCTAGAAAACTTAAATAAGGGACCAGGAAAATGAATATAAGAAAGTGAAAATCAAATCAACAAAAAACTATGAACCAGAGACACTTTTTGGGGGGGTGGGGGCGGGAGGGGAGGGATTGGGGTCAGAATGGGGCGTTTGCAATTGTATGGGGGAATATAAAAATAAAATTTATTATTTAAATTAAAAAAAAATGTTCAAGTTTCATTGTATGAGAATAATTCATTCCAGATGACTTGCTCAAGAAAGAAATATTGATATTTGAATCAAACTATCTCACATATATTGGCATCTTGATAACAATCTTTCCTTAAGAATATACTAGATGCTATCATATCATATTTTTATGTTTTAGCTTATCATTTATCTTCTCCAATGAATTTTAAAATTTTTAAATAAGGACTCTGTTTCCACACCACATCTGCTCCTAGCCATATGCACCACAATGTGAAATCCTTAATGTCTAAAACAGTGCCTGGCACTTCATGGATTTATTTATTTATTTATTGATTTGATTTATTTTAAGATTTATTTTTTTATTTATACAAGAACTGGGGTACAGGCCAGAGGCGCGGGAGGGTGAGAGGATTTACCAGAGACAGAGCAGGGAACAGAACAGGCAGACTGACTGAAATACACTGCTGAGGGGAGCAGTGGGCGCAACTGGAGAGGTCTGCTCGACATGTGGGACCCTCGCTGGCAGGCTGAGATCGGCTGGGATCCAACCGGCGCTGTAGAGGCTGCGGACAGCTTCACAGCGCTGCGCTCAACTGCCTGCGCCACCAGGGGAGGCCCCACTTCATGGATTTAATAAATAAATTGATAAATAAATGAACAAGTAAATATATGATTTAAGTCTTTAGAATATCTTATTTCTGGAGAGCCTTTTATGATAATGTGGAACTTATGAGAACTAAGTTACTGTAGGTATCAAATTCTGATATTTTATAGGTAAGGAAATTGAGACTAGACAGTTTAGATTTGGTAGGTTCAGGCAGCTTCTTTCAGACAGAGCAGCATTTAGTACTCATGTCTGTTCCTGCTTCAACGCTCCTTATACCACATGGCTTAATGCCATAATACTAAATGTTTTGTACACAACTCCCTGCCTCCTTTTCTTGGCATGGCTTAGAGTCATTGGCAGGCACTAATGAAAACCTTGTGCCAAATTCTGAACACTTGAATAGTGGAAAAGATTAAGCTGCAGGCATAAAACAAAGAGCAGTATTTCTTGGTATGCAAAGTGACTGTTTCAGAGTCATTTTTTCAATGACATCCACACTTTACAGTATTATCATCAAATAGGATCATTTTCATAAACAATGGGTAGAGGAGGAGAAAAAGTTAGTCTGATGAGACCAAATGTGGATGTGTCAGAAATTAAAATGATTTCTATTTAATTTTTTCATATTCTTATATAATAAGCAATAGATCCTAGTGATGCTATTATTATCCCAATGTTATAAAAGAGGAAACTGAGGCTTTAAGCAGTTAACTCATCTGCCCAAGGTCACATATATGGTAATTGAGAGAATTCAAGTTTTCCTGATTCCAAAATTCTTAATCTCTTTGATATATTGATAATTCTCAGTACTGATGATTCACACATCTGGTTCTGATTTTCATCTGGAAATTGATTATAGCTAATAACCAAAAACAAACTGACAAGTGTTTCTAGATATACTCACCCTTTGAATTTATCACAGAATGTCTTCTGGTAATATTATATAACTTTTAAATACTATAGTGTGCATACAAGAGCATACTTCAAGTTCTTCTTTCCTGGCCATTTTGTTATAGTTGTAATAAATTTTACTTTTTGTATATTATTAACCCCAAAGTACATTGTTAATATTTCTTGTTTAAACAGTTATGGAAAAAAAAGGCACCCATGAAGTCTTTTTTTTTAAAGATTTATTTTATTATGCATACAAGAACTGGGGTACAGGCCAGAGGTATGTGTGTGGAGGTGAGAGGATTCACCAGACACAGAGTGGGGAACAGAACAGGCAGATTGACTGAAATACACTGCTGAGGGGAGCAGCGGGCAAGTCAAGAGAGGTCTGCTGCACCATGTGGGTAGCTCCCTGCCCGGGGATCGAACTTGTGCTGCAGAGGCTGTGGATAACTTCATGGGTTGCGTCTTAACCCTTTGGGCCACCAGGGAGGCCCCATGAAGTCTTTTTTAAAATGGAACAGGGGAAGTTACTAAGAAATTGCAACACTTACCTCCTTAAAAAGGGTCAAAGACCTTTGATCTGGGAAAAAGATCTTTGGACTGGGCCAAAAACAATTATTTTAAGAAATCATCAAGTGAAGAAAGTTTGAAAATTGATGATTATGGATTTTTAGGTGGGAAAATGAATCAGTCAGCCTCCTCCCCTTTTTAAAAGATTTATTTATTTATGCATCCAAGAACTGGGGGGTGGTGAGAGGATTCACCAGAAACAGAGTACGGAGCAGAACAGACAGCTCTACTGAAATGCACTGCTGAAGGGAAGAGACAGTGAGGCAGGAAAGGTCTATGAGCCATGTGGGTTAGCTCTCTGGCCGGGATCTAACTCATGCTTTAGTGGCTGCAGTTAGGTTAGCTTCATAGAGGTGAGACTTAACCCCTTGTGCCACCAGGAAGGCCCCAGTGGCCCCCTTTTTTTAAATACTTTCTAGAGAATCAGTAACCAATCATGCGTATTTTTTGTCTTCAAAAAGAAAACATTATTAAGCTGTAAAAACATGGAGTAAAAGTTTTTTGGCTATTTAATTGGGAAGATGGGAGCTTAGATGTGTCCCTTCTCACCACACCCCACAATGCTAATCAAACTACAAAACTCCCATGAGCAATGACAAGGACTTGGCGGGGGTGAGGGGTGGGGGGATGTCAATTAGAACTTTGGACTCTGGCAAATATGATCAAAAACATCCATCCTCTGTGTTGGAGGAGAGTTTGGAAGCAGTTAACAGAAACACATGTGGAAGTATCTGGGAACTATTGATCTACAGACATTTGTGGATCCCTAAGGGGTGGTGATTTATCTTCCCAAGTGATTGTTTCTGGAGTGGCAGCAGGTTTCTTTGCTGTATTATATGTCCATGTATGTATTAAGTCCCTTATGGCTTCTATTCTAGGTTTTGCCAGCTGAGAAGACTGAGGAAGAGAGATTTTATTCAGTCATAAATCCAGGGGAATTATATTTTAGCATCAAGCAGATCTCTGACCCATTCTGCCAGCTATTGCTGAGGTTAAAAGCCAAAGTATATAAGATACTCATGCAACTCAATGGCAAGAAAAAAAATACGATTAGAACATGAGCTGAGAAACTGAATAAATATTTTTTCCAAATGTCTAACAAATACAAGATGTCTAACATTGCTAGTCATTCAGGGCAATGAAAATCCAACCACAACTTCACAGTTGCTAAAATAGCTATTAACAAAAAAAGAAAAGATAAATTCTGGTGAGGATGTGTAGAAAAGATATCTCTGTGTACTATTATGGTAATGTAAATTAGTTCTAGCACCATAGAAAAAAGTAGGGCTGTTCCCCAAAATATTAAAAGTAGAACTACCATATGATTTAGCAGTGCCACTTTTGGGTGTCTATCTATTTATCTATCTATCTGCCTACCTACCTGTCTGTCTGTCTGTCTCTGAGTCTATATGTATATATGTATATGTATATATGTATGAAGGAAATGGAATCAACATCTTGAAGTGACACCTTCACTGTCATATTTATTATAGTATTATTCGCAATAGTCAAGATGTGGAAACAACCCAAATGTCAGTTGATGTATGAATGGATAAGGAACTTGTGGTATATACGTACAATTGGAAAGGAAATCCTGCCTTTTGCAACAGTATTTATGACTCTTGAGAGCATTATGCTAAGTGAAATAAGTCAGACAGACAAAGACAAGTGCTGTATGAGTTCACTTATACGTGGAATCTTAAAAACCGAATTCATAGAAATAGAGCATGGTGATAGTTGATGGGACTAGGGAGTAGGGGAAATAAGGAGATGTTGATAAAATGGTAAACTGCCAGCTATAAAATAACAAAGCTCTGAGGGTTTGATGTACAGCATGGTAACTATGCTTAATGATGCTTTGCTGTATTTAGTGAAAGTTGCTTAAAAATTAGAATTTAAATGCCCTCACTACTACTACTACCACCAGCACAACAAAAAGATAATTATGTGACATGATGTATGTGTTAACTAATTTTATTGTGATAATCATTTCACAAAATATACCTGTATTATATTACCATGTTGTATACTTACACAATTTCATATGCCAATTATATCTCAATAAAGTTGCAAGTAAAAGAATATTACCTTCCAAAGTACTTCCGCAGCTGGAACTTAATAACAGACAACCCACATAACAGGTCCCAGCATCCAGAGTGAAGAGAATTGAGAAAACACACAAAACAAGTGGTTTCTAGCAAAACAGAGCAGTTGGAGAAGTATTTCCATCCCACCCCCACCATCTGCCTCAACCCCAGCTCCTGCTCCAGATCAGCAGAGCTCTCTTACAAAGTAGCTCAGTTTTCACCAAACAGTATAAAATTGCAGTTAATTATAGGCCAGTCTTTTAGATTTAGACTAGAACAAAAACTTCCTGAAATTGATAATCTAAATAATACAACTGGGCCTCCCCTGGTGGCGCAGGTGGTTGAGCGCAGCGCTGTGAAGCTGTCCGTAGCCTCTGCAGCACCGGTTTGATCCCAGCCGGCCGGCGAGGGTCCCACATGGTGCGCAGACCTCTCCTGTCTCGCCACTACTCCCCTCAGCAGTGTATTTCATCAGTCTGCCTGTTCTGTTCCCTGCTCTGTCTCAGATGAATCCTCTCACCCTCCCAAGAATCTGGCCTGTATCCCAGTTCTTGTATAAATAAATAAATAAAACTTTAAAATAAATAAATAATACAACTTAAAATAATCCAATTTATATAAATTAGCCAAGTTATATATATGTGTGTGTGTGTGTATATATATGTATATATACACACACACACACACATATATTATTTGACAACTTAAATGTTTTTTGGAGATGGTAAGGCATAAATAATATTCACTTAAATGTTGACAGAATTGGGTTAGACTTTATACTTAAACTTAAAAATAGAACTCTTTTCCCCAATAAACAAAATCATAAAAACAATAGTATAGCATACACATACACACACACACGCACACACAACTTTGCTGGCTGTACAAAAATGAAACATAAAATAATAATTGCAAACAAATCAATAGATGAATTGAATGAGCAAAGAGAGAATCTCTGTTGCAGAGCCTTGGACCTATAACCTCCAGATACAAATTTGTAAACCTACTTTACCTCAAAAAACATAATTTGGGGAAAAAAACAAAAAACATTGAAAAAAATGGGAAAGATAAAATAGGTTTGTATCTGTCAGCAGATTTTCCATGTGAATAATAGAAGCACAAAAGGAGAAAAAGAGAAGAGAAAGTTCTTAAATATAGACTGAAGTTTATCTGAGCAGAAGAATAATCAAATCTTCAGATTGAAATGCCTCATTAAATTCTAGACAAGATAGATATTTAAAAAGGAGACATAGCAACAACAAAGAAAATAATCCAGTCAAAAAATGGGCAGAAGAGCTAAAAAGAAACTTCTCTGAAGAGGAAATGCAAATGGCCAACAGACATATGAAAAAATGTTCAACATCACTTGTAATCAGGGAAATGCAAATCAAAACTACCATGAGATACCATCTCACACCAGTGAGAATGGCACATATTAAAAAAACTAGCAACAACAAATGTTGGCGAGGGTGTGGAGAAAAAGGAACTCTTCTGCACTGTTGGTGGGAGTGCAAACTGGTCCAACCACTATGGAGAGCTGTGTGGAGATTTCTGGACCTACTAAACATAGAGCTTCCATATGATCCAGCAATTCCACTCCTAGGTATTTACCCAAAGGACACAGAAACATCAATTCCAAAGAACACCTGCACCGCTATGTTTATAGCAGCACTGTTTACAATAGCTAAGCTTTGGAAACAACCCAAATGCCCAAAAATAGATGACTGGATCAAGAAGATGTGGTACATATATACCATGGAATATTACTCAGCATTCAAAAAAGATAAACACATGCAATTTGCAGCAACATGGATGGCGCTGGAAGGGATCATGCTCAGTGAAATAAGCCAAAAAGAAAAAGAAAAATACCGGATGGTCTCACTCATAGCAGGAATCTAGAAAACTTAAATAAGGGACCAGGAAAATGAATATAAGAAAGTGAAAATCAAAATCAACAAAAAACTATGAACCAGAGACACTTTTTGGGGGGTGGGGGGCGGGAAGGGAAGGATTGGGGTCAGAATGGGGCTTTTGCAATTGTATGGGGGAATACAAAAATAAAATTTATTATTTAAAAAAAAAAGAATGACATTTAAAAATAAAATAAAATAAAAGAGAAATTTTATATTTAAAAAAAATAACAGCAATGTCATGCACACTTTGATAACTATGTTTTTGAAGTTCTGTTAAACAATTCATATTTGAGACTATAATTACTTTAAACTGTACATTAGAGTGTTGAAAAAGTCTTATATTACATTCTAAATGCTTCCTGTCTGCTTTACTAACATATACTGAAATAAAGTAGCTTTTTATTAAAAAAAAAATAAAAAAAAATAAAAAGGAGACATACATTATTTTGAAGAAAAGAGCCCAGACACAGAATGAAAAAAGTAAGACTACTCTTCCTAGGAACTGTCTTACCGAAAGCAGGAGAGAAGCAGGTATTGCTGGCCATTGCAACCCAGTTCCTGAACACAACAAAATTAAAGGCTTTATTTTACATCTGAGACTACTCAGCATCCTCCAAGTTTTGCCTTATGAATCAGCAGGGAATTAGGAAGTCTCAGGATATTCTGGTAGGGAAGATGACTCTTATCGATGATCAATAAGGGATTATATGTTTATAAATGAGCAGACTTAAAAGAGAAATTGATGTGCATTTGAAAGAGCTCATCTAGTTGATAGAATATTTAAGATCTATCAATAAATTATACTATTTTATTATATGATTATATAAATATAAAATATATGATTTTCTGTTACTTGTAATTTTTACATTCTAGCATTCAGGATCTGAAATTCTATTAATTGTGGCAGGACTAATGTGCTTAGGCACACCCTGGCAATATTTTAGGATTCTAGGAATAGAAAAAAACCTTAATAAACTTCAGAGAAGAAAAAATTATTTGAATGCAACTACGTCAGTTTTATACCACTATGTTTGTAACCTTTTCTAAAACTCTCTTCTTTTAAACTTATCCTATAAAATAAAAATATTTGCTTCATATTTTTATAGTACATATAAATTGTGATTGTTTATCTGGACTGAGTATGACCTAGATGTAGGGACTGTGTAAATGTGTGTGCTTGTTACTAAAATCAATTCCAACCACCAGAGAAAGGAGAGCAACCAACCAATGCTTTGTTTTATAATAATATTTAATCCACTGAAATTTTATACAAAATAGACTTTGGTCAGATAGCATTCAACTCTGATTGCAAATAGTAAACATGCAAAAGGAATTAAACATTAGAATATTCATGCAAAGATAACATTACTAACTATATCCACTTTCAAAGTAAAAAAAAACATGAACAAAAACAAGCACATTATTGCTTTACATACATACATTTCTTGCATTTTACTTATACAGATTTCTTACAGATTGTTCTTTCATTAGCTTCTGTTTTATCATCTTTTATGCAGTATCCACATTAAGAAACTGACATGATTAGATTATGTTGATTTCTTTATAAAACTGTCTTTATGAGAAAAAATACAAGGATGTATAAGAAATATTCCCCATATACCTACCCATTAGAAGAATCATCTGGGAATCCTGAATAGATCCATTTTACCACATTTTGTGAGTCACAGTCCTTCATTTGAACAATCTTTGGATATCAAGAGTCAGATAAGGATGATTCCACACTGGATGTTGTGGGCTCAGGCTCGATCTTGTCTGGGCCCTATTCTGTTTGGATGCTGATTGTTTGTTTATTTAAACTTGATTCTACATAATGGGGAAGGAAGCTGAAGCCCAGGAATGGTATTCAGATGTCAGGTTCCAGCTGGTTGTGACTGTCGTGTTAATAACGGAGGTCACTGTCATGTTCTCTATGCACCGGGACCTTTAAAGAGATCAAGATTAGGGCTTTTTATTGATCCTTTGCACTGGGCTGTTAGAGGCTAGTATTGAAACAAAGGTACTTTCTAGAATTATTATCCAAGCTTGGTAAGAACTGGGAACAAAAATGGTCTGAGTTGTAGAAAAATAATAGAATAAAAATTTTACCCAACTCATCCTGACTACATTCTCTCCTTCCCAAACCGATTCTCCCTGAAAGTCCCATTGCACCACTCAAGCACTTCTCACTCTTAAAGATTTTTCAGGCAATAATTTGGGAGAAAATTTCAATAGATGAAGAGGTATAAGCTGGAGAAAGAGACTGATGCTTTGTTATTCACAGGACCATTTGTAGGTACTCACAGATTCTTCAAAGTTCCATGTTCTACATGATTTGGCCTACTTACATTTATGGTTTAAGATCTCACACTCCTGCCCAAGATTTTTATTATTTTTATGAATAGCTTTTCTTGTTCTCAGAGGAGTAAAAGGACATTTGTCAGCTAAGTTTTGTCTTTTCTTCCTCTAGTTTCTAATTCTATCTGTCTGGACACATTGTCTTAATAGCTCTCTGTAAATAGGGGTTCATCCAATTTCATCAAATGGATGCCACACAGACATCCAGGCTGGAGGTGAGGAAAGCTTTCGCCTCCTACCACAAGCTATCATATCCTTACCGAGAACACGGTACCATACCTCCCAATAAACAGAATCATCGTAGCAGGTCTGGTCAGATGGCTGCCCCCAGATGGGTATCTTTAGAATTAAACCTGTGAAAGTGGGGAGAAAATGGCAGGTTAGGAAATTGTATAGGAAAAATCTACTGGCATAGTAATTAAAACACTATTGATAAACAGCCATTCTCTTGAGTTTACTTGGCTACTTTACTGCCAGATATTTAGATAGCTTTCAAATTTACTGATAGGTAAGTTAATCATATATTATATTGAAAACATATGGCACAGGGAAATGTTTGCTTTTTATCCTGACCTGTGATCAGCCCTCCAACAATAGCTGTTCCGATTGAAGAACCTAGGGCGGCTGCCTGCATGGCCACTTTATACCTAGGAAACCAAAAGAAAAGGATCACCTTGTTTTTCCAGGATGCACTCCTCTCCTCAAAGCATGCACGCCTGCCATCTTCAGACCAGGGCGCAGCATTACATACAGCAAACAACCATTTCTTAAAATTTTACTTCTCTTTCATGTTTCTGCTTTCTTTGAGAGTTTTAAGCAATATTCAAAAAAACCAAGCACCCTCCCCCCCAAAAAACAAGCCAAAACCCTTATAATCAAGAAACACTTTTTTCTTCAGCAATGGTTTAAAAAAAGATCCTCTTTAAGAGGGGTTGAGTGTTTTCTAAAATCTTGGTATCAGATATCGGATTCGTTCAACAAATATTTACTGAGAACTCATTTTGTGTTAGTTTCTCTTCTAGGTATTCAGGATAGAGTGACATACACCGCCATTTCTTCTCAACCCATCCCCAAAAACAGTTGTGATAAAACTCAAAACTCAATAAGTTAATTTTAGTATACATCAATTTTAGTATATATTATAGTAACAACTCACTGAAGGTATTAAAATATATCTCTACATGTCAAGGCACTTGTAGTTACCTTAAACTGAAATGAGCAAAAAAGTGCCTTTTAATTTTGGAATGGGAGAAAGGGAGAAAAGTTATTAAAATGTATAAGGGTATTGCATGAGCTATAAGTGTGCAGGGATTGTGGGAGTGTCCTTAGCTGAAGTCTCACTCGTAGGAAATTAATAAATATTTGCTGAAAGACTGAATGAATGATTGCAGGAAAGAAAGAATTAGAAAACAAGTCTGCTGGTGATTTCATCCTCATCATCCAAGGGAAAGAATGCACTAAAACCAGATTTCTTTATTTGAAGGGCTTAAATTTTTCTACTGTATAAAAAAAAATGTGCAAGTAACACATGAGACATGGAAAAATATTAGAAACCACTAGTTAAAAAAAAAGAAGGGAGAAAGATTAATTTCTCTCAAATCCTATCAGTATGAAATGTAAAAACGTAAAATATAAACATGTATTTTCATAAAAATGCTACAGTATCAATATTCCTATTAAATCTTATGCCTTTTATGTCAGTAAATGTAGATTTGGATCACAATTTTAATTGCTAAGGGTATAACACTATGCAGATGTACAGTAATAATAATTTTATAGGTTGAATGTTTAGGTTGCTTCCAATGTTTTATTAAAATGCTGTGAGAACACATTTTTAATGAATGTGCTTGTGAACTTGTCCAGTAATTCCACGAAAATAAAACCTAACTAGACATGAGGTTATTAGTAGAAGGTTATATATTCTTAAGAGCTTTTCCAAAGAGTAAATTGTACAATTTATATACTTATTTCTCTACTTTAGCTACTACTCAGTATTGATAGCCATTTAATCTTTATCAATTTGTTAACTGAAAAACTGGTAACTTGTTTAATTTGAATTTCTTTGATTACTGGTGAGGTTGAATATTTAATATATATTTATTATTTTATTTTCTTCTTTTGCAAGCCACATTAATTTTACCAGAATTTTGCCATGATCCTTCCTATGGTCTTAAAAAGAATTTTAATGAACCTGAACATTGTGGGTTCCTATGAGCTGGCTACCAGCTGGCCACTTTTGGGCAACTGTGACCTATTTGCTATCTGCAAATCACAGCAGAGCATTCCTTGACTATCTATGGAGTATAGCCCGTGTCATGAAACAGGCCTGGGGATGCCCAGACCGCTGTTGACCTCATTATGTGACTATCTCCATGGTGGCCTCTGGATAACTCTGCCTGTGATAACATAAAATATTTTGCTGATGCAAATGTCCCCTTCTCTGTTCCACGTAAAACTTTGTCCCCCATTGCAATCCCACCCTCTGGACTTCATTCCTCATACCATTGTCGCATGATCAGCTTCACTAGCCTATATGATTTCAATAATTGGCACAAGAACTTCTGCTCAAATAGCAGAGTCTTGACTTGCAAACTTGCTACATGACTGCTGCGTTCCTGCCACAAAGCAGCAACAAATTTCTTGTCGCAACAGTTCATGACAAAATAGACTTGAGAAACACTGCTGCTAAAAAAATAAAGAGCCTTATTAGAGTTAGGCTATCATTACTGTTGAAATCTCCCTAAAGATTATTAATTTTTCCTTGTATTTTGCTTACTAAGAAAACTGATGCACTTTAGTATTCTGAGTCCATGTGAGTAAATAGTCTTGACTTTTGGACAAGGTATTTTAGCTGCTCTGTGAGAAGAATAAATTTTACTCTCATGAGTGGGCCTTCAGACTTGGCCCTGCCAGCTTCCCCTGTGTCAGTTGTGAAGTGTTGCTAAACCTGCACGCACATGGACTGCACTCAAACATGGAATCTACCCCAAATCCGGCCACCCAGTGAGACCCAGTCTGCAAGAGCCAGACAGACTTGTTTAGTTGCATCTATGGAACAGGTCTAGGCATGATGAACAAAAATTCTTCTCTCCCTAATCATGAGGTACCTCTTAGAGTTTACAGAGTGTTTACACACTTATAACATTTAGGACTTGAGCTCATTCACTCTTGCTTTTATGTAGAGTCCTGATTTGCATTAAAAATCTTGATTTGCATTAAAATACTTTAGTACATGATCTCAACATCCTGTTAGGGCCTGGGGAAAATGGAAAGAAAATATAGCTATTTGGGGGTTTTCCTTTAAAAGGGGAAAAGAGAGGAAAAGTTATAGAAACGAAATGGATCAACTATAGACATGACTTTCTATTCAGTAGAAAATAAGATTAAACAGGTTTTGGAAAAATATGTCATTACCAGTTGCAACAAGATTAAATCTGTTGAAATTGATGAGTGATTTATCTTTTCCAGTTAAGCAACACTAGCTGGTGGTCCCCTTGAGACATTTTCAAACACACATGCACCTTTTTGTAATGGGGATAAAATCAGGGTGAGGCCAGAGGTGTTGGGGTGAAGGAGTCACCAAAGACAGAGTGGAGAACAGGAAATACCTTTCTGGAATACCCCGCAAGGGAGCAGTAGGCGAGTCTGGAGAGGTCTGTGCATAAAAGAGGATTTGAGGCTCTTATGGTTTTCATGGGCTTTCTAATTTGGGGCACCAGTTTGCACCAGACATTTGCTAGGATGTATGGTCTTGGGTGCTGTCTTTTGACACAGAAACATGCCCTGGGCTCTGCTTCTGCATTCCTGGAGCTGGGCTGGTTTTTCTGGTCTTGGTGATCAGTCTTGTGACCTAGTCTCCAAGGCAACCTTATCACTTCCTTATCTATTCATTCCTCCCAAACTTGTCTGCTGGGCCAGGAGTGGGGGCTTAGTTTTTAACCTTATTACGCAGTAGACACTTCATGTTTTCAATTTGTTTCAGAAATTGAGTATTTTGATTCCTCTTTCTTTCTCAGTGTTATGGAGTTTATGATCTTCCTAGTTGCTTCATATCAAGTTGTACTAATCATGTTGCCTAAAAGTGATAACTGATGGTTTATGAAGGACTTGATTGATAGTTATTCTTCCTCTGGCCACTTAAATGAATACTTACGCTCTTTAGAAAGAATCCAGGTCTGTTAGAACTAGAAGGGATTTTAGGGAGTAAATAGTACAATATTTTCATTTCACGGAAGAAAAAACTGAGAACCCGAAGGTTGGGTGACTTGCAAAAGTGCTAGTTAGTAGCAAAATTGGAGCCATCTGCAAGTCTTCCTAATTTCCTGGATCCAACTGCTTTCTACATTATTTAACTCATCCTTTTTTTTGTATGGGTCAAGTGGAAATGATTCCTCACTCCATCACATCTGTCCCCCACCCCTTTCCGGTGGGACTAAGTAAAAGATTAGGATTACTATAATCTGATTGTGATCATTGCATTGCCCTAACTGCTAGGGGACAGTGGACTATGGTACAGAAATTTAAATTAAGAATGCTAATTAAAAAAAAAATTAACAGTGGTTAAGACATGTCTTCTAGTCCAATTCTATTTGATGAACTGTGTTTCTGATTTCAACAAGAACACTACTTACAAACTATGGCTTAGATTGCTAACGAAAAAGTTGTCTCATTATGGGATTTCTTAAAGAATAAAAGAAAGCTTCAAAGAGCCTCGGAAGACCAGACGGAGGCAGGAATACCCATAGTTTAACTCACATGTCAGATGATTTCATGGCTACGGCCACAATGCCGGCGAGCCCTCCGACCAGACCTGGTAAGCCGTGCAGGTTATGAACCCCACATGTATCTTGGATCCTCAGTTTAGTAGCAAAAAATGGCTAAAATTGTGAAAAAGAGGATTCTGTATAACTGACATAAATGATCGAGCAGGAAAACTTTTATCTATAGTCTAGTTCTCCATTCACATTCAAAATCTGCTTAAATCAAAGACTGAATACGCTGGTGGTAAAACTGCTCTTTCAGGCTTTAGAAAATGGCTGTGAAGGTGAGTGATGTCAATCCTATTGAACTACCGATGATAAGCGATATTCTTAAAAAGGCACTGAGTCCTTAATTATATAAAACAACCAAGCAACGAAACTCTAATGGAGTTGCCCCAGAGGAAAGTAACACAAATGCTTAGCATTCAGTTCATTCTAAGTTGTAAACAACTGATATCAGATTCTTTACTGCAACACAAAAAAGTCAGGAAAATGTAGAAAGCACAGGACTCCTAAAATGTGAGTGTTATTTCTGACAGGAAGGCAAATCACCCTCAAGGAGAAAAGGTGCTTATGGGAGGGATTTTTGTAGCTGTTCCCTGCAGGTGGGATGTGAGAAGGTAAAGTTGCAGATTCAATATTTGACTCGAGCAGCCATCATACTTACAGTCAGGAACTTGTACCCAAGCACAGAGACCATTCCTGCAACACTCCCAATGATCATAGAACCGTAGGGGTTAATTGCCATGTCGGCACACGTGCCCACAGCCACTCCACCAGCAAGGGTTGCGTTCTGAATGTGGACCTGTGTGGGAGACAGAGACAAGGATGAGGTGGGCTAAACCAGACAGAGTTCAGGTGAACTGAAGGATTCTAGAATTCGTTACACACTGTGGCATATTCTTTATTTGAAATGGCTACTGATTCTTTGTAATTCCAGAAGACATTTCTTCCAAGCAGCTGATTTTTTTTAAGTGTTAGAATGACATATATTTATTCATTTATTTTTAATAACAACAACTGTGGCTTCTTTATTTTAATTTTATATCTTGTTATTTACACATGCTTGGAGTGCAACAGGTCCACAACAGGTCTGCAGTTGCCAATAAATTCTCAGGCAGGAAGATTTCATTTTATATAAATCCATGTTTATATGAAACCACAAACCTGTCTCCCCTTTGTATCTTACCACTCAAATTCCTGCTAGGAATTTAGTTCCATATTCTTGTCTACTTGGGTCATTTTAATAAGTTAGGAAATAACTGTCTCTGTTCTCTTTTTGGGTGATAGCCCTTATTCATGCTAACACTGTTGGATAACCTTCCAAGTGTTTTTCAAAATAGCATGTTTCTGTGATCAAAACTACTTAAAAGTTAGCACTTATGTTCTCCTATCTGTTATTCCTGTTACCTTGTATTTTCTTTCATTTATACATTTTAAATGTAGTATTTTTTTCTTACATCATTTTTAATTTTTGGACAATACATGAGTTCTCCCCTCGATGGTCACTGTAGTTCTCCTGTAACAGGGTGGTCCCCAGGAAAGGGGGAGGTTCCCTGCCCCACCCAAGGGAGGGTGGAGCTGAGCAGGGAGAGGAGAAGCTGCAGAAGAGACTGAGGAAGGAAGCAGGATGGAGCCAGCAGACCTGGAGGAGGCGCATGGAGCCTAGAGACACGTGAAGAAACTGTGCTTGTCTTTTGGTCGTGGACTGGGTGACACAGATGTGGGTGAGACCCGTGGGGAGGTGACCATGGCAGCTTTTATCTTGATGTTGATTTTGCTCTTTTCCTTCCAGGCTTGTCTGGTTGTTTCTGACCCTTTTCTGTGGGTCCCCACTGGAAGATGCTTTAGACTTGTTGCAGGCTTTGGGGCCTTGTTCTGGGCCGATCCCATATGGATGGAGTTTTACCCACGAGGGGATGGGTAACTTTGGGTGCTTCATTTAGAAACTAGACTCTTTGCCTTACCTGTATTGTTTCCCAGTTTTAATTAAAGTTCCTTCCCATTAAAGTCTCATATGTTTTGTGTTGATGCGGCGGATGGCAGAACCCATTTAGAATAGGCAGGTTTGCGGGGTTTGGGCTGCCCCTCTCCCTGTCCTATAACACTCCCACCACCATAACACCCACAGTCCACCACCATGTTCCCTTGTGCTCTTCTCCCCCCTTGTTTTCATCTCTCTCCCCATCTTCTTTCCCTCCCCCTTCCTTCCTGGATGCCTCATAGCTGTGGTCAGTTTCAAGATTTGTCTTTGTTTGGTTTTTCTAGATTCCATATATAAGTGAAACCATCCAATTTTTTTCCTTTTCCTTCTGACTTATTTCCAAGCAGTTGATTTTTAATGTCTTTCTCATCAAGGTTCCTTGGCAGAGCATGAGTGATGAGTTTAGAATCTAGTTGTGTGGCAGGATGTGAGGAAATGTAAAGCAGTTCTAGTGGAATGGTGGGAGTGTATAGAACAATTATCCAAATGGAGGATTTGTGGGGGCCTAATATTGGAGAAGAAAGAATTGGGGTTTCTTTCTTTTTATAACCTGTTTTCATAACTGGGGAGTTGGTCTCCGCCTGTTGCTGTCTGCTGGACATCATACATTTGATGAGTAAATGCATGAAGGGTATTTTCAAAATATGCTTCAAGTTCTGAAGTGTCGATCTGTTCTGATAGCTCAGCATTGATTCAGAAATGACCTACCTCTAAGCCACCATCAATGTGTTTGGTGAAATCTGCATGGGGGCTCATAGGGCACTCACCATATCAAGTTTGCCTCGGTGCTCAACAAGGCTGGACAATGCATAGGCTGTGACCACACAGGCGGCTAGAGAGAAGTAGGTGTTTACAATGGCCCGGTACTGATTGTCTGCAGGTTCAGCAATGGCCGAATTAAAGCTGGGCCAAAACATCCACAGGAAAAGAGTCCCTGGAATAAACAACAACAAGAAAGTATTAGTTTTGAACTTGGAAGACAGTCCAGGTGAGGCTGTCTTGGGCACTGATAAAAGGTCTACTATTGGAGCATTGAGTCAGCATAAACAAAAGTAGTATTCAGAGTATGTTCCTTCTTGAACATCTTTGCATTTTCATTGGAGTTAACCTCCCCCTTGAATGATGAAATAGACAAGAACCAGGTAAGTTCATCTCAGCTCACCAATCATTGCAAACAAATCCGAGTGGTACACAGACTCCTCATTGTCATGCCCCATTCTCAGGCCAGGTCGATATAAGATGCCTGCTACTGCCAAGCCAAAGTAGGCCCCAAAGGCATGGATGGTCATTGATGCTCCAACATCAGATGCCTGAGAGGCAAAACATTCAGGTAAATGGAGGTGATACTGAGTCTCGCTACAGGAGCAAAGTCAATTAAAGAATGGTGTCTTTGATCAAACAAAAAAAATATTGAGAGAGAAAGAATATTGGGGAAAGGAAAGTAAATGGATAATACTATGAGAAAAAATACAGGTTTCAAAACCACAAAAAATTAACTTTCAGTTCTAACTAAGGCACTTCCCTGAAATGTGGCTTTAAACAACTTATATTCCTCTGAATCTCACATTTTGTGATCTGGAAAAATATTACCCAACTGGAGAGAACTGTAATGAGACTTAGATAAGATCATGTTTGTAAAATGCTAGGTCCCCAGGGGGAACTCAATTCACTCCTGATGAGGGAGATTTTCAGTTAAATATTATGCATGACATTTGATACAACACAAGGGTGGTTTTGTATTCAATTGACATTGCATTTAAACTCAATTGCAACTCAAAGACTTGAAGCTTCAAAAGCCCAAGTTCTTCCCACATTTTTTTCTTCTATATGACAACATGAAAACCAACTGAGGTCTAAAGATCATTTGAAGAACTATTCTTTAGTCTCCCTTGTAGGCCACAGTATGGATTTGATCTAGCTTTCTTGTCTCTAGAGGGAAGTTCAGCATTAGCAAGAGAACGTATTACTTATTTATTAAGGTAGAAAAATGACGCTGATTTAATAATTTACATCAATATATCCCAAATAATGTAGATTTTCATGCTTAATAAATACCTATGTACCTTTCAGCTTCAGCATAATTGTGATGTCCTTGGAGAACCCTTTCTGGATTCTACAACCTAAACTGAGTCTTCTTGTTACACTCATTCTTAGTGCTGTCAACTTGTTTTTTATATCATGTATTACACTTTATAATAATATTTGAATGTGTGTGTATGCATGTGCACACACATGTGTGAGCACAGCTGCCTGTGAGTGGGTGGATGAATGCACGATTGGTGCTTTTCATCTGTCTCCACCACTAGATTGCAAACTCTATAAAGAGAGGCGCTTTATTCTATTGGTCATTGAATCACCAACACATGTCACCTACAGAAAAGTATCAGAAATGTTTACTATTGGGTTAAATGTTCAGTAGAAGTATATTCAACATACTGGAAAGTGCCTGGGAATGTATCTTGGGGTGGCAATGAAATTTTCATGGAGCAGAAGAAATTTGAACTAGACTGGAACAGAAGCCCTAGCAAAGACCATTCACCTCATTGAAAAAGGAACTGATCATTGGTAGAAATTAGGGCCATGAAGTTAGAAAAATTCTGATTTGAGTCCAGATTTAGGCAAGACATTTAGCACCTGTGATCCTCTGTTTTATTGTACACAAATAGTAATGATAACGTATACTTTACAATGTTGTTGTGATAATGAAATGAGATCTTTATAAAACTTCTGGTTGATAGTAGGAAACCAAATAAATGATAACTATTCGTTACTGTTTGCTACTACATAACTCTCACCCAAGTTTGGCCTTGCGTAAAGTGGGAATCTATTATGTGTTGTGGCCAGAACTAATGCCTAAAGCTAGGTAAGTGTACATATTCTATCACTTACCTGAAACTTCTCCACAACCAGATGTTCATTGCCAGCAAAGATAGTAATTTCTATAATGGTCATGATCAGCATCTGGACTGGACTTGTTTTTCCCAGAACAGCTCCAAAAGAAATCAGGGCTGTGGCTGTACTGAAGTCTGCATTTATCATGCTGAGGGGTAAAGAAAGAATACATTGGAGAAGAACAAATGATAACATAACCTTATCCAGAGTACAAGGTCCTCACCCAACTAGCCTCATCTGGAGCTTCTCACAGGCCTAAATCTGTCTTTTTCCACTTCTTACCCCAAATTTCTTCTATATACCAGATACTCTATAGTTGCTTAACATTTCCTTTAGTTTAATATACCCGCTCTTTATCTCGTTTAGGGTTTTACTTTCTTTTTTGCTGATCTGATGAATGAATTATTTCCTGGAGTGTTTGTACTCATGCACAACAAGAACACATGTTTACATTTCAAAAACAATCTTAGAAAAATAACTAATGGAGGGTTTTTCCTCTGTAGCTGAGATGGAAGGGTTAATAATTATATGAAAGGGAGGGGCCTCCCTGATGGCTCAAGAGGTTAAGCACAGCACTATGAAGCAATCCGCAGCCTCTGCAGCATGAGTTCGATCCCTGGCCCGCCAGGGAGCAACCCACATGGTGCAGCAGACCTCTCCTATCTCTCCTGCTGCTCATCTCAGCAGTGTATTTCAGTCAGTCTGCCTGTTCTGTTACCCACTCTGTCTCCGGTGAATCCTTTCACCCCCACCCCCACCCCCTGCATCTCTGGCCTGTACTCCAGCTCTTGTATGCATAAATAAATAAATCTTTAAAAAAAATTATATGAAAGGGAATTTCTCATACCCTTACATTTGAGCCAAAGAGGATATAGACATGAGCGTATGACCCAGCTCAGTAGACTATGGCACTCACTTGGATCCTTGGGTCCCAACAACCATCTGTTGTCCAAGGGAGGCAATTTGCCAGATTGTCAGACAATTTAAGAGTCTGCACAGACCCTGACTGACAAGAGACTGAGTAGGGAAACAATTGCTCTGAAAACACAATGCTTGAAAAGTAAAGGGTGTCACCTCTTGATTCCAATGTGGATTTTCTCTCCGTGGCTGTGCAAGAGGCCCTGTGCAATAGTGCCCCACTGGAGACCCAGAGCGGCTATGAGTAAGTTGATGCCCACACTGCTGAAGCCATATTTCTTCAGGAAGGTCATGAGGAAGCCAAACCCAACAAATATCATAACATGCACATCTTGGAATACTGGAAAATATTAAAGAAGAAATCTGCATTAGGGAAGCATTAAGAAAATGTCATGTTATAAATATCCCATTTATTAAGTGTACATCCTTTGCATAAGACACTGCGGAGGGAGAACATTAACTGGGCAGAAAAAGACTGGGTTCCAGGGCCATTTGGCTACTACCAGCCATAAGACCTTAGGCCAGTTATTTGGTATTTGAGCCTTTTTCTGGAACACTGTACTACCATTCCATAGTATCATTTGTCCTCTCCTGAAAGAGTTTTTCATTACTTTTCACTAGGGGCCGTGCATGCACTCTTTTAAAGACTTCCCCATTACTGCAGGGGAAATCATATTTCCTCTTTACTTCCACATTGCTTTCTGTATTTACCTCAGCTTTGATATTTGACATGTATGGCATTTCTCTAGCATGCATCTCACTGTCATAGTTACTTAGTCCATGAGATGTCCTTTTCCTGCACTGTGTTGTGAGTTTCCTGATGAAGGGTTAGGGCATATTCATCCTTTGCCCAGAGTTTTCATTTGCGCCCCAGGCATAAGAACATACACATAGGGAAAGAGGCAATCATGACTGGATGAATGAGTTGCAGTCTCCACATATCAAATGTGTAGAGTAGCACTGACCTTGGAAATCTTACCAGATCATTATTAGAATCACATGGGGTAATATCTTTTTAGCAGTTTCATTGTATTTTTATTTGTTAAATATTATTTTATTTATTTGTTTATTTTGTAAATTACAACATGTTAGCTGAATTATTTTATTTTTAAAAGATTTGTTTTTATTTATTTATGCATACAACCTCTGGTGTAAGCCAGAGGTTCCAGGATGAGGGGTGAGAGGATTCACCAGTGACAGCGTGGAGAGCAGAACAGGCAGATGTACTGAAGTACACTGCTGAGGGGAGCAATGGGCAAGACAGGAGAGGTCTGCTGAACCATGTGGGTTAGCTCCCTGGTCAGGGATCATACTCAGAATGAAATACAATCATACTTGTATTTTCTACAAGGTCTCCCTATGCACCTATGTGTGTGTGAAAGAATTGGATAAGGCATCCCTGCATGTCTGCCTTGAGACAATGGCCCACATCATGAGGTGGCCGGGGATGCATAGGTAATGATTGACTGAGTGCGTGTTCAGGGTCCAAGACAACTTGGGATCATCCCAGAAATTACACCAGGCACCTGCACGGGAAATACTCCCTGTAGATGTGGCCAACATGTCCCCTGTTCCTATATAATTGATTACCCTTTGATCCCTTTGAAATCCTGTTCCCCATAAGATGAATACCCTTTGTTTTCCCTGGCCCCTGCTTCTCCTGCCATTGCCACATAATCATGTTTATTCATTATTACTAAATAAATAGCAAGAGAGCTGCTCACAAAGCAGCAGAGTCTTGCCTTGCAAATGTGCTCCATGACTCGTCTCTCAAACGTGTTCCCGGGAACATGTGGTATGCTCCTGACCACCAGAATCTAACAGTTGTAATTGTGAGTTACTTGTTTTTTCTCAGTAAAATCTGTAGTTACAATGACATGCTGTCAATGCGGGGTCAAATATCAATGTTCTTAATGACCCAGCACTGTGAAAACATAGGTTTTTTTTTTTTATCATTTGAAAATTTTATTTTTATTTTATTTTTTTACTTTTTTAATTTAAATTTTATTTTTATATTCCCCATACAATTACAACCCCCTTATTTTGACCCCAATCCCTCCTTTTCCCACCCCTGCCCCCATAGAGTGTCTCTGGTTCATAGTTGTTTGTTGATTTTGATATTTTCTTTCTTATAGTTATTCTTTTTCCTGGTCCCTTATTTAAGTTTTCTAGATTCCTGCTATGAGTGAGACCATCCGGTATTTTTCTTTTTCTTTCTGGCTTATTTCGCTGAGCATGATCCCTTCCAGCGCCATCCATGTTGCTGCAAATTGCATGTGTTTATTTTTTTGAATGCTGAGTAATATTCCATGGTATATATGTACCACATCTTCTTTGATCCAGTCATCTATTTTGGGCATTTGGGTTGTTTCCAAGTTTAGCTATTGTAAACAGTGCTGCTATAAACATAGGGGTGCAGGTGCTCTTTGGAATTGATGTTTCTGTGTCCTTTGGGTAAATACCTAGGAGTGGAATCCACAGATTTATGGTCAACTAATCTTTGACAAAGGAGCAAAGAATATGCATTGGAGCAAAGAAAGTTTGTTCAATAAATGGTGCTGGGAAAACTGGGTCGCTACATGCAAAAGAATGAAGCTTGACTACTACCTAACACCATGCACAAAAACCAACTCAAAATGGATTAAAGAACTAGACATAAGACCTGAAACCATAAAATACATAGAAGGAAATATAGGTGAAACACTACATGATATGAACATCAAAGACATCTTTACAGACACATCACCCAATGCAGTGATAGTGAAAGCAAAGATCAACAGCTGGGACTACATCAAATTAAAGAGCTTCTGCACAGCAAAAGAGACAATAACAAAAACAAAGAGAAACCCTACCAACTGGGAGAAAATTTTTGCACACAACACTAATGATAAAGGACTGATCACAAAAATCTACAAAGAGCCGATGAGACTCAACAACAACAAAGAAAATAATCCAGTCAAAAAATGGGCAGAAGAGCTAAAAAGAAACATCTCTGAAGAGGAAATGCAAATGGCCAACAGGCATATGAAAAAATGTTCAACATCACTTGTAATCAGGGAAATGCAAATCAAAACTACCATGAGATACCATCTTACACCAGTGAGAATGGCACATATTAAAAAACTAGCAACAACAAATGTTGGCGAGGTTGTGGAGAAAAAGGAACTCTCCTGCACTGTTGGTGGGAGTGCAAACTGGTCCAACCACTATGGAGAGCTGTGTGGAGATTTCTGGACCTACTAAACATAGAGCTTCCATATGAAAATATAGGTTTTTAAGACTGAAAAGTTTGGTGCCATTGTAAATAAAGCAGTACACCCAATATCATAGCATGCTTCGTGAGAAAAAGAGGCTAAATTTCCTTGACCTGTTTTGTTAGCACTTTCTAAACAAAGAAGCACCAAACAGACAAAAGAAAGTCTGTGGGCTCTTTGAAAATAAAATATTTGACTTGGTGTCTTGAGATGTAGGGTCAGGTCCCTCAATTATTATGTGGTTGTGTGACCTGGGCCAAGTCACTAATTTTCTGTGAGCTTTGTGTTCTTATTTGCAAAAGTGAAAAGGTCCTACTTTCCAGGGTAGCTTTGAGTCTAAAAACCCTGTGGGCATGAGTGTGCAGTGGGCACTGTACACATAAAACATAAGATCAGATACAAATACTGAGACTACAAGCCCTTCCCTCAAGAAATTTACAACTTAAACATCTATTGGGAAACATCTATTTGACTGAACCATATGAAAATGACACTTTTGCATTGAAATAACCAATGGACATGTTTGGAATATTTGTGATTTTCTTATCATTCAAATGAATAGATACACACAACAAATTGAGTTAAATTGGGAACAAATAAAAAGCCGGAGAGAAAAAAATAGAACCCTCAAATGTTGAATTAATAATAATCATTGTGGCCAGAGGTTTAAGTGGAAATAGCCTTCAGGAGACCATGCCTGGAAAATACAATTCCAAATTTGTTTGTCCAAATGAGGGATGAGGATTTAAATTGAGGTCTGATTAGGGGGCCTCCCTGGTGGCACAGGGCTTTAAGTCTCAGCACTATCAAGCTATCGCCAGCCACTGCAGCATGAATTTGATCCCCAGCCAGGGAACTAACCCATATGGCACAGCAGACCTTTCCTGTGTCGCTTACTGCTCCCCTCGGCAGTGTATTTCAGTGGAACAGCTTGGTCTGCTCCTCACTCTGTCTCCAGTGAATCCTCACACCTCTGGCCTACAACCCAGTTCTTATATGCATAAATAAATAAAAATAAATCTTAAAAAAAATTTAGGCCTGATTCCTTCAATTCCTTCATTTATTGAGCACAAAAAACTTTTGGGGCATCTGACATATTTTAAGGACTGCAAGGCATAGTTTTGGCTTCCCGGATACTCGGAGATATGTGCTACCCCTTGATTCTCTCTAGTTCTGTTCTAATGTCAAGCTCAGGAGGAAGTCTATCCAAATGTGACAGCTATGATACCCCACTTGTCTCATGTAGCAGAACCAGTAATGACTGCCCACAGCTGCCCTTCAGACTCCAGGGATACCAGTTGATAGCCCTAGGCAATCAGTTCTCTGGGAGAAGAGCTTTTCTTGCTCAAAGTCACAGTCCTTCCCCAAGCCCACCCTCAATGATTGATTCTCATGAGCATGCTCTTGCTTCAGGAACCAACCACCTGAAGCTAGATAGTCCAAATTCAGAGCTTCCTGTGAGGTCAGCAGAGAAATTCTCTTTGTCCAAATCCTTCCTGTGCAGGTTTGATCCTTAAATGTCCCCTAATAAATGCCTTTCAGGCTAATAGCTGTCTTAGAGTCTGTTTCCTAAGGAACCTAAGCTGTAAGCCACCTTGCCTGTAGGCTCCCCTCCACCCCCCCTTCCATAGCGTGAAGAAAGAATTTACCTTGCTTTCTCCTCTGACACAAGCTACAAACCACATTTAGTTTAGGACATTGCATATTAAATCTGATAACTAATCTGTGGTGGTGATCTTGCCCAGTTTGAAGTTATTGGATTTCCAATGGTACCTCCCATTTGAAAAGAGTCCCTAGGAGGGATGGGACTTATCCTGATGTATTACAGTATGACAAATAACAGGCCAGAGAGATCAAGGTGGCATTATAGATTGAATGACAGTCTCTTTTGGTGTTCAAGAAGCCAGTCTTTTGTGTTTGTGCAGCAAATATAAGAATCAAGAACATGAGAAACACAGATTCAACTTTCCAGGACTCAAGTATACACCAGAGTCCTTCACTCTTTCTGACCATGCATTGAAACGTTGGTTATTTTATTGTTCCCTGAAGCTGCCTCTGAGAGCAGTAGTATGAAGGTGAGCAAGGT